CAACCTCGGACACCTTATCAAGACATCACCAAATGTGCCAACCCTGTTTGCAGGGCGTGAGCAAATTATGCTCCATAGTCATATTGGAGACAAGGAATACAATCACATTGGCTATGTTTTGCTTGTTTACGTTGAGAAAATTAGAATTTATTTCGGACCACCTCCGTCGTCTAGTGGTAGAGCGCATGCCCGGAGAGCAGAAGGTCGTGGGTTCGATCCCTGGCCGCGTCATACCAAAAGACAAAAGAATGTACTTGTTGTTACCATTCGTTTACGAATCGACTTCAATATGCTTTTGTGTTTATCGAGGTAAAACGTTAAAACCAGTGTGCATACTGTGTAAATGTTCCAAGCAGACATACGTAAAGTGTGCACACCGTTGTTTTCGTTTATAGAACAGTAAGCTGTACAGGTATATATGCAAATACAAAGATGCTTGTCCTTGTTGTTTGCCTTTATTGATAATAGTTTAAAAAAAGATAATAGAATAGAGTGACACCAGATTTTTAGGTAACAAGTTCAAATGTGACTTTAAGGAAAGAGGTTACGTATAAATAAAGAATTTGAAAAAAAACCATGCTGCCTTCATTGCACATTGCAAACCTTTTAATGGTTAGGCACCTTGCAAACCTTTTAATGGTTAGGCACCTTGCAGAAATAATTTGAGACCTTTCTTCAAATCAGCCAACAGGATAAATTGGAAGAATAGAAAAAAATGCTTTATCAAACCTTAGTCCACATTACATTTACTGACTTTCCAAGGCATGTTCCTTTACAATCTTTAACGGACAAGAACAAAATACTATTATTAAATTGAAACCGAAAACTAAAAAAAGACAATACAGTCGTCAGAATATTTATTCGTGCATGTAACTTTATTGTGTGTCAGGAGCAGATATCTCTACCTACAGAACAAAGCTTACCACCACACCACATCAGCCGAGACTGACCTTCACCCAGATCACACCAACATATCTAACAATCACAGTCCTATCTTAAAGGCAAAAAACGTTTCCTCTGTTGAAATGGCAGCCATTCTGGCTGGTATTATGTTTCTATCTATCCCTGGAATTACGCGAGTGATTGCTTGACACGGCGAAAATAATCAACAAGTTTGCTATAAACCCAAAGGGGCCCCCTTCCTGCCCCCTTCATCCACTGAAGAGTATTCTCAGTAGCAAGTTTTATAAACGATGGCAAGGGCAAACAAATAATCTAATGTATGTGCACAAGTGGCAACTATAAACCTGACTTCAACTAAGCTGATTTCGCAAGCGTCTTCAGATTTATAATGCTGAAGCTTGGGCTGAAATGCTTGCTTATGGGGCTCATGGTATCAGTGCAGAGATTGAGGAAGGTTGTCACTGCTATATAGTGCGGTATGGTATGCTACATGGTATCCTGTAAACAATATAATTTGGACAAGCAAAACCAGTGGATGATCCAGTGATCCATGTTACCACAGATTACATAAAAGTGATGATGGATGTGAATTAAGGGCAGACGTAATGACTGAAAGTTTTACATTTTACAGCTGTGCATTATTTCTGGTTTGTTTCCCTGAGTGAGTGAGTGAGTGAGTGCGTCAGTGCGTCGGTGCGAGCGTGTGTGGGTGCGCGTGTGGGAGGGTGGTTTGGATCTCTGGGGTATGTGGGGTGGGGTATGGTGGTGGTTGGTTGGGTTTGGTGAGTGAGAGTAAATCTTAGTTACGTCGTGACACATGACAACATCACGCATAGGCGACGTAGTCACCAGCATGACCTTGACCTTGAGATTACTCCAACATACATAGTCTTTGTTGTCCGGAGAGGGCATGACGTAAAGTGATTGTAGCACCTCATAGATAAAACTGTGTAATTTATTATTGAAGAGAACCGGAGTTATGATGGGCTGTGTGAGCACAGACCTTTTGGGTTCAGATACCCGAGATCGGACCTGAGATAGGAGTTGGTATCTCCTGGTGAGGTGGCTCAGAGTTCCATATATGTAGCTCTACCACAAGGATTTCTCAATTAACCATGGCTTCTTTGTGTCGACCTGTGGTTTGCTCTCGTGGTTACCATATTAGACTGTAGAGGTCATTGCCAATAGCTGGTAATTGAGCAGCGGCGAATTGTGAGTGGTGTATGTGGTCCGTTTGAAGGGAACGAAAGGCAATTTGTCATCCATCGTTGTGAGGGTAGGCTGTATCATTCGCACGACGGAAAGCCTTAGGGCTTGATAGCCATCCTGTCGCTGTGTCACCAAGACCTTAGATGACCGCTTCTTTTTGGAGGACTGAGGAATCGCGTTTCAGAAAAGATGCAGGTGATTGCTGATAATCATATTCGGCCCGTAGAATGCTGAAAGTTAAGTCAGTGACAGCTGTGCAAACTTTACTACAGTGTGCAGAGCTCAGCTCTATAGAGGATTCAGAGGAAGATGAGGATCTCCGAGATTATGGTCACAAATACGCTTAGTATATTCTACCTTTAAAAATTCTATACTATTCTAACATATACATAGTTAGATGATAACCTTAGATACTTTAGTACTGAATTTTAACACAAATATGTATGCTCAATAACTTATTTAAAGCTGCGCACACACATGTGCTGAGGCATTTGGTACGATAAGCGATATTCCTTAGAACTGATTAGGATGGTGGATAGTGGTGAGGACGTCAGTTCAAAATCTAAAGATTTTTTAGTATAGTGATTTACCAAATTGCAAGAATATTGGCTATGATGTAATAGGGGTTAAGGTTTGTCGAAGGAACTATGTGGATTAGGTGGTTAGTGTAATGATCTGCCATGTAGTCATGTGGAGTAAGCAGTTGTGAAATCTATTCCCCCTGAACACCGAATGAGACAATAACAAGCGCTTTTTTATAGAGTATTATATACTGATGTGTGAAGGTTTCAACAGAGGACACTCTATACTTGATGACATAATGGTCAGACTAATATCAAACATAACCTTGACAGGTGATGGAACAGACTTCTTTGGAAGGGACGTTAGAATGATTCCTATGCTTTGGCTATTGTTTAGTCTCTGGCTGATGGCCGTGAACCCAAGACTCATCCATGCTTACCTTTCGCTCACCAAACTCAGCTGGGTCTCTTCAAAAAACGTAAATCCTCACGAGTGACAATCAACCTGGAGTGTATCTGGACAAGAGTCAGAAGCCTTGGAACCCAGCGTACCAAGAACTTTGTAATGCACAACTCATTGCTATTGTGACGGCATTCGTCATGTGACGCGTTTTGGGCGTGAATTTACGATCACCCATACTATTATCATTCTACTAATATTTTTACCAACATTTTCCCTAGTCGTGACAGTTGGAGCTTGGAAAACCTTCGTGGCATTCCCCTCTGCTACTCACGCCTTAACAGTAATAAAGGAAGGAGTGTCGTCCTCAAGTTGACACCATGCACGGACGTATATACGTCTTTGCACCATGTTAGTATGGATGGCTGTTGGAATTAGCCCGTTCAGTTTCTTGATGACAGTGCAGTAGCCACGTTTCTCCATTTTCATCAACAGAAAAGTATCTGGTCACTTTGATGCTTCCAGAAAATCATGCTGCATAGTTGCGTATTTGGTTCAATAGCAGTCTGTGAGCACGGAAAGTAGTGAACATGCAACCAGCAAAGGCGGCACAACACAAACTTCGTCGTTAGCCTCAGCATTTCTCAGCCATCCCTTGTAGTTTGCATGACATGGGGTTCCTAAATCAGTACGATACACCTGCGGGCGTATTAATACCTGTATGTCGGTTCTTACATAAAACTTGACCTTCGGCTGATCCAATTGTACTAGGGATATTTTCTGAAGAGATTCAAGAGAGAAATTAACCCGTTTGGTGGGGATAAATTGTGCCATGAATCTTATATAATTGTAATTTTAGTACCGCATACCATGTTTATCTTTGATGGAAATGCTTGGCTACAGCCGCCCTGATTATGTGTATAGGTTTGTCAACCTTTACTCGTGAATTTCACCAAAGTAGAAAACTTTTAAAACCTGCATCACTTCGGGATTTCCTCCATCGTCAGGCTGACACGATTCTTATATATACATTTGAAACCTCTCGCTAAAGCGGTCGGTTTCAAGTGCAAATAAGAAGTATCTAATCTACAGTGGGTCATCATCAAGTTTTAAACACGGTAGGTTTATCTCCTAATTAAACGCATGTTTATGTGTAAGCCATACACATTTTGAACATGGCGAAAAGAGTGAAATTGTTTTTGGGGGGCAGTTGTTCATAATAGTAATGCAAACCTGTTTCTTTGGTTACGCGAACAATACCTATTTAATGTTGATCACGGTGAGCACCCAACCCTAACCCCAGTAGCCTCTTGGCGGGACACGGCGCACTGGAGAAAGGGTAGGGTGCTCCGGACACCATTTAAATATATACGTTGACATTGTTTTACGCTGTGTTAAGATCGCTACAATAACTGCATATAATTAAATCCTTCATTACCTGTTCGCAAAATGTGTTTCTTTACACCAAAACAACATATTCAGGTGTTAATATATTTTTCCATTACTGATAGACAGAGGATGTTTTGTAAGGCTGGCACAACGTCATGATACCTAAAGTGAAATGATTCAAAACCTTATTAAGTATAAATGCAATGTTAATGTTAAAGAAACGTGCATTATCGCAAACTATACAAATAATGACCTATCTAACACAAGTCCATAATACAGGGAACAGATGTATTCACGTGACTGCAAGATTTTACATTCCTGTTAGTAATATTCAATTTTGAAACTTTGTGGTTTGTGGAGCATAAGTGTGTATTTTAATGAGTCATGATCAATAATTCAGCTATGCCAGGACACGGTTACATATTTACTAGGTCGCAGTGGTGTGAACACCTACATGTAAATGACAAGAAGATAATTCAAAAATCTTCTAAACACCAGTTAAAATCACAATTTATATTGAGCATGGCAACTATCCATTGGAATTCCAGTAAGTTGTTTCTTAAAAATAAAGGACAATGTGAAATCAAGTGATTTATTCTTTTCGGGATAAATAAATTACAGTGAAACTACATCCAAGCATAAACGTACTTGAAAACCTTTGAAAGTGACAACTCTCGTACTCTAGAACCCAGTTGTGTTATATAATACATACAGTTCAATATTAGACATTACAAATATTGACAGTGAAATCATTCAACATTTTTAAGCTAGTTTTTATATTCAATGATACAACTTGTTTAAGACAATTTCTCCACAACAAAGCATAAAGTTGACAAATGTTAAACAATGAAAACACTGCCGAAACATGCAGACAATATACATAGAGCGGCCTTTCTGGACCAATGTATGTTCACTTATTATGGCAACGTAATTGGAACCAAATGTGCAGCTGAAGTGCATTGGAAGTAATGTAAAGTATTACTTTAATATTTGTATGAATCGTAGGAATATTTACATGCATAAACAATTGACCAAGCATGTTAAATTCGGAGGGGAGCCTAGGATTTTGAATCGAGATGAGATACTTTTTCAGCAACAGCTACGAAACCAGATAAAAAAAAATATTTACAAGTATGAGCCTGATGGCTTTTTAAAAAGACACCTTGCAACAATGCAATTGTGGCAGACAATTTCTTTTTTTCAACAGTCCGGAGAATAATCATCTTAATATTTTTGTCAATAATTGTCGGGGACAATATGATGTTTTCGATAAAATCCCACCCCACCCTCCACCCGAATATCAAATGGTCAGTCTCAAAGCTACATATTTACAAGCACCAAGCAAACATATTTGCAAATGTCTAAACTTACATACAATTACGTATATGTATTTGTAAATTTGCAACGTAGTAAATTGTGTAGTTTCACTCAGACCTTACAACCACGTCAGCGGTGGATATATATTCAGTACGTTGGAGTATTTATATGTTTAGCCAAACAGTAGGAAATGAGTTGCTTGCGTTGTGTGAACATTTGTCTTGCCTTTTTATGTGTTTTGTGACGGATGCCACCTCCTCGTGAACATCTGGTATCATCACTGTTTTATGTGTCCTAAACATAAGCTTTTTATAGCATCTGAAACGTACAATGGAATTGTTGTGCTTATCAAAAACAATGTGTTGCTTTTATTTGATGATCATGAGAGATCAAGACAAATTCATCATAGTGATGTATAATAACCATAATAACATGACGCAATGCAATTACAAAGTGTGAACCCAATTAAAGCAGTGTCCTTCTGGATGTGAAAATTATTACCTAAAGGTTTTAATATTCCCAGTCTTGTGCACAATTAACAGCAAATCTCTTGCAGATAAGTATTTCATATTTGCCAAGCAAACAAACAGTAATAAAATGTAATACTTGATCATTATAAGGCAACGTGAGTGTGTCCATGTTTAACACTGTTACAGTTGGCCTCAGTCAAGATAAGCCACAACTGTAGACACTTCTTACAAATACATCAATATACACTAATACATTAAACCATTGAGCAAGTTTTAGGAGGTAAATTAACCACGAACATGGATTGAGTGCTGCAACATGAAAGAACATCACCGACAAAATGGTCAAATTCAGGTCAAAATGATATTATTATGAACGTTATACAATGTGATGCCTGATTACATACGACCCAGTTCTCAATATTCAGTTCGTTCACAATCTGCACAGCAAACATGCATGGCAGTGACAGACAATGAGGTTGCACTACCACATCCACGGTGGCTGTTTGGAAGTTGATTTCATCAAAATAACTTTCTGAATCGCACAATGGACCTGATCAGTTCCAAGAAGGGTTAGCATGTTCTTCAGATATCGAAACTGTATGACAGCAATATGTGTAATTACAAATTAACTTACCAAATTAGTTTCATAATGATAAATAAATTGCAAAAACATCTCACATATCAGTGGGGTCCTACATATATGTGTCCACATTCATTTCACGTCTATGAATTTGAATGCTTGCAATCACATTTCAGAAATGCGCACTCTAAAGAAAGGTTCAGAATGAAATTGATTCGTTGGCTGAAAATATACCAAGGTTGATGGCATGAAAGGGTGTCTTATTTTCCTAGTTTATATAAGTTAAATGCGTGTTTTTTTCAGTTTCAGTTTCCAACCACTGGAAACTAGGTCGCCTGGCTTTTTGTTTGCTGGTAAAGTGGACTTGGTTTCTCTGTGCTCGCAACGTCCAGGGCCTCCAGTTTTTCAAGCTCCGTTGCCTCCGTGCTCTCCGACTGAAGAACAGTTGAAGAAGTCTGAACTCACAAGCCACCCACAATCACATGAATTAAGAACAGCAAATAATCTTAAACTCTAACCCTTAAATTATATGTTTAGTCTTAAACCAGTTGTCCTTCAAACCTAGTATTAGTAAGACTGAAACTCTATATGGTGATGACCTAAGTACGAATCTCTGTTAAAACATTATTTTGAGTTTGTTATGTATTCTGTGTCAAATAAATATTATATGTGTATTTGGCTTGCTAAATCATACTATTTTAAATATATTTGATATCAGGAACAGCTCCCTAATGTCAGCCGTCAAATCAAGCCATCAATATAAAACTGAAACAGCCGGAAAATCGAGATAATTGAATGAAATATAGGCATTCCTACACATGGCAGTTTTTTTACTTTTCACATATTTTACACAAAGTGACAATGAATTATTTATGAAATGGATGTAAAGCTTTTTCAACATGATAGCAATTAAATACTTCTAGGGCAATTATTATGACTTATATACACCATGTAGCTATGACATACTTCACAACATAAACTACAAATCAAATGAATATACATAGAAATGATGTACAACTGCAAAAAAGGAAGTAAGTCACGAGGAATATCAGAGAACTCGATCACTTTATCAATTACCACCTCATGACTTCGACTGACACAACTTCCGCTGAAGCATCGAATGACACGTCCACTAATTTAATTTATTTACCTGTGTGAGCGAAACCGCTTTGAAAATTAAACTAAAATAACTGTGTTGCTGCTTAATGTGGAAGCAACGTTCACTGTGATGCTGATCGTTCAATCAACACATTGTGAATACCGCAGCAAGGGTATGGTGCTAGCAAGGATCCTAATCGGCTCAAACCTGGATTGACCCATGAACAACATATCACAGCACGACAAATGGGCGTATGGGTTTTGTTTTAATGGTTTTTGTTGTGCCCTATAATTCACGGTATGTATATATACTAGTAATACAAGCATTGTCAGCCTCATGTTTAATTCTATTTTATTCATATATATTAGTTCAACCATACTTTCATTCTTTCCGCTTTCAGTCTGAATGTGAAAGCGCCTCAATGGACTAGTGGATAGAGCGTCTGTCCCGAGAACGGAGTGAGTATGTTTTTACGCCGCTTTTAGCAATATTCCAGCAATATCACGGCGGGGGACACCGGACAATGGGCTTCACACATTGCACTCATGTGGGGAATCGAACCCGGGTATTCGGCGTGACGAGCCAACGCTTTAACCACAAGGCTACCTGACCGCTCCCGAGAACGGAAGGTCAGTGATTCGATTCCAGGACAAGGACGTTTAGAGATGATATTTAGGGGCTAAAACAAAGAATGGTCGGCTCGGAGTCAGTATACTTTGTGTGATTGAGATATCCATGTGAAACTGGTATCAAGGCAATATCAGTGGGTTTGCACTATAAAACCGGCATTAATCCGGACGAGTACAAGCAGACACACACACACACACACACACACACACACACACACACACACGAGCGCGCGCGCGCGCACGCACACACACACACACACAAATATGGATGCATGTCGCTATTTAAGTGCAATAACCTTGACCGCGACGTTAAACCCCATTTCACTTCACCTCAGTCTGAATGTCATCAATATCCAAGATAAGGCGTTGGGTAATCATGGCATATCTACCTTTTCTGCCGTACGATTTTGATCACCACTCTCCTTCCCTCTGACACGAGGAGATAAGATCTGGCAAGCAAAGGGTTCTTTTGATCAAAGGGACTTGAAAAAAATTTCAGAATGATGAACGGACTAAACCAAAGATTATAAATCAGAACAGCACATAACAATTATTGACTCGGCTCAAGGATATCGCCACTTATACAATACCATAAGTTTCTAGGATATAGAATAATAGATTAAATCTTATTCGTGCAGTTATATAAACATATATATTAAAGCGTGAATGTCATTGTACGCACAACCTTTTACACATGGTGTCTCGGATGTGCTCTCTCAATGTATGTTCTGAAGCAGCATATTGGTGATCTGTCCTCTATCTAAGCCTATTGTTTATTTTTGTTCAACATCTCTGCTATCACGGGAGCATTTAAACAATCGAGACGTACAGACAAACAAGTGATTGATCTACTGACCAACGTCACATACGGTGAACGATGAACACAATCCGTCAATCACAGTGATGATCCCAAATATATTCCAAATCATTACATACTGGGGACCTATTCTGACGCCGAATCATTGCAGAGTGCAGATAGCATGTACTTGAACTGGGGACCTATTCTGACGCCGAATCCACGCAGAGTGCAGATAGCATGCATTTGAACTGGGGACTTATTCTGACGCCGAATCGTTGCAGAATGCGTATGGCCTATATTTGAACACATATTTATGGCACGTGTGCACTTTTCTTGGATATTCCAATATGGCTGAGATACTGCCGATGTGACGTAAATCTTTAACTCACTCACTCACTTGGATATTCCGTGAGGTTTTCAATTTCAATGGTGCACAAAATTGCAAAACATTTTAAAATGTCAAAACAATTAAACTTATCAATAAAGTAAATACACGTACCCCGGAGGCCGAGTAGTGTTTCGAGTAGTGTTTCAACAAGGAGGGATGGGAATCTAACTATAGGGTAACCAACAGGAATAATGTCTCCGTGGATGGGGGATACCCAACACGAATAATGTTTGTAACGGGAAGGTGAATCAACCTCTGGGGTACATAACTCGAGGTGTGTTTAAATAGGAAGGGGAATCTAACTATAGGGTAACCAACACGAATAATGTCTCTTTAGGGGGTAACCAACGCGAATAATGTTTGTAACAAGAAGTGAAATATAACTATCATGTTGTACCGACGTCCCCTGTAATCAGCTTGTCAGGGATATGCGGCAAGTAGATGATAGTCAATTGGTACGAAATGATAAAGGTGCGACACGGAAGAAATGCATTAAGTTGGTTAATACCACATGTCTTGTATGTACGAGCCAACAATCGATACATTGTAACATGCAATGACCTAAGGTCGAATACCAGCTTCGTGAGGCGACAGACTTACACATCATACTGTGGAAATACTTTTCGAAGAATGGTACAACTATTGCAGTAGGATCACATTACTGATTGTACCGCTGCAGATGTAATTTATGCTTCAAGTTCTTCGTAACCTGTCTTACCATCGTAAGCATGTTGTGTTCATTAAATAGACAAACACCAAATTTTAATTATTAACTGGATTGTCTGATCAAGACTAAATTATTTATTGGCCGCCGTCATATAGCTGAAATACTGCTGAGTGTGGTTTTAAAGACCAATACAAAAATAACTAAATGAACCAGTATCACAACATATTGCCAATTAGATTCACAGAAAATAGTATACCTGCGAAGCACGAAGACTAGACAGACTCTTCTGTTTCTGTACAGTCTGTGAAATTTGTAAGTTACTGGTAGGCCGAGATATCTGAAACGTTAAATAATAACAGTGAGGTTGGTTTAACGCCGCTTTTCGCCTGGAACACCTTAATTGGTTTCATACAGTACACCCATGTGGAAAGGCGACAAAACCTTTACTTCAACCCACAACCCATTATTTTTCAGAACACAAAGCATGTCAGTGACATCATTTCTTTTCAATCTGAGAACAACCATTTTTCAAGCATTTTCGGTGATAGATTGATTTTTTCAAAACCGCATCACCACCATCAATTACGGTGAGAATAATGGGGGAACTCAGCCCAATAGCTTTCACTCTTTGTATGTGGTTATTCAATATTTGACATTCTGTATTTTCCTGGTCAATACAACTACGTTGTTTTAACTTCAATTGCCAAACCTCTATAAACTCATTTGTCGCCTTTGTGTCATCCCTGTAGCTTCCCTTCGAAATGACCGACAGCTGATCCGAACACATGACCACCCGAGCACTCCCCTTCATCTGACGTTCACTAGGTTCGTCCTTCGAAGACAAAGTTTCAACCACACTTGTGCTGGTTTGCTGTCCATTCCCAGTCCACTGAAATTATAACATCAGTAAACGTCAGGCCAGGCCATGTATTCATTTGTATCAGTCAGTCCAGGTATTGTGATTGAATTAGGAGATACACCTACTGTGTTTTTAACTTTGAGGTAGTCCAACTATATATTAGATACCTATGAAGCGCGAAGTTTCAAATGTTTAAGTAAGTGTTATGTTAATTGTGAGGATAGAATAGAATTAGATACCCGATTTTGATCTTATTTTGGCCAAGGATGCATTCTTCAGTGTCATTTCAGTAGAAGTTTGTTTGAAGCGGCATGCAGCAATAATTTAGCTATATCGCGAAGGCTTTTAAATATTCCTGTCTGGACCAGCCAAACCAGTGCACCAGTCAAATGCGTCAATAAGATTTAAACATCCAAACAATACCGCAAATACCTTTGACAAAATAACTAGAACCTGACAAGCTAAACTGTGTATCAAGGGATGCAAACACGTCAGAGGGAACTTTTGTCTATATACTCACATCATCGTTGACGTCTTCTATATCCCCACTGAGATCTTGACTGCTGTCATTACCTAACATATAATTTGAAAAGACATAATGAGCACAGCTTACGTTGACGATGATTGATAATACTAACTTTCAAAAATTCTTATACTTTATTTATTGTTCACATGATCCCTATACTTGCATTATTGTTCACATTGTTCGTATACTTGCTTTATTGTTCACATCATTCTTATACTTGCTTTATTTTTCAAATCATTCTTATACTTGTTTTATTGTTCATATCCTATTTGTATTGCTTTATTTTTCCCATTATTCTTATACTCGCTTCATTCTCTCACATCATTCTGATATTCGTTTTATTTTTCCCATTTTTCCGATCCTTGCTTAATTGTCCATATCATTCTGATACTTGTTTTATTGCCCCCAACATTCTTTTACCTGTTTTACTGTTCACATAATTTATATACTTGCTCTGTTGTTCACATCTTTCCTGTACATGTTTTATTGTCAACATTATTTTTATACTTGCGTTATTGTCCATATCATTCTTATACTCACTTTAATGTTGACATCATTCTTGCACTTGATTTATTGTTCTCATCATTATTATACTTGCATTATTGTTCACATCATTCTTATACTTTCTTTACTGTTCACATCATTCTTATACTTGTTTTATTGTCAGCATCATTCTTATATTTGTTTTATTGTCAACATTATTCTTATACTTGCTTTATTGTCAACATCATTCTTATACCTGCATTACTGTCCACATCATTCTTATACTTGCTTTACTGTTCACATCATTCTTCACTTGCTTTAGTGTTTACATCATTCGTCACTTGCTTTAGTGTTTACATAATTCTTCACTTGCTTTAGTGTTTACATCATTCTTCGCTTGCTTTAGTGTTTATATCATTTGTCACTTGCTTTAGTGTTCACATCATTCTTCACTTGTTTTAGTGTTTACATCATTCGTCACTTGCTTTAGTGTTCACATCATTCTTCACTTGCTTTAGTGTTTACATCATTCGTCACTTGCTTTAGTGTTTACATCATTCGTCACTTGCTTTAGTGTTCACATCATTCTTCACTTGCTTTAGTGTTTACATCATGATATATTTGTACCCAGTGACAGTTTCACTTAAGAAATTGGGTATGAAAGTGGCATCCAGGATCATCCCTTTTCACGGTATGTTTTCAACATTCTTTTAGTTATGACTGAAACATTGTGCATGTTCTTCTCGGTAGATCTAAACAAAGCAGAAAGCTGAAACCATGCGTGCAGCCATTCACTTATACAAAGTACTGTGCTTTCAAGATACATTTCTCATGATTATTGAGATTTATTAAGAAATATTAAACGCTCAACAATACATTTACCGTTGTCATCTGATCGCTTTTCCTCCCTAGCTGGTGCATTCATTCTCTCAAGTTTAATTTGAACCTGTCAAGAGGAAAGATATATTACGGTTTCTATATTCAGAGTCCAAACTTGAAGCAAATTGAATGTACACACACTTAGGAGAGTGGAAATAGTTTTAAGAATCGATACCCGCATGACGCTCTGTTTACGTCTTTTAATAGTCAGCTTCCACCTTCCCAACCGGAAACGACGCCAGTGGTTGGTAAGTCCCGAATATATCTGAAATTAATTTCAGAATTGTAAGTTAATGGATGAGTGAGTGAGTGAATGGTGTGACGGTGGCCTGTATACAATACAGTTTAGGCCATGCTGTCGGGGTTAGATTGTTGAGTAAGTCAGTTGAGACATTGTTACCACCTGATCAACATCAGAAGACTTCATTTGTCTGGGATAGTTGGAACCTGTTCAGGCCAGGCATTGCCGGGACTGTGAATCTATTTCACGACACAATTGTCGCTGTCTTTAAAATGTATATGTTGTGAACTATTTTACAAGCGTCATTAAGCTTCGACATAATCGCGTGTAATATACCACACGGCATAATTACAATACTTTATTGATAACCGATTATGTGCACTCACCTTTCTGTTAAGCACACACTGTGTTATGAATATGAACAATCCTTGAATAGAGTTGACTGCAGAAAATATATGATCAAACACATAATTGTCGTCCTTCCCTACCAGAAGACCTAATACCCACGTGACGCCAAGTACGGGTGTAAGCATACAAATCCCACGGAGTGCTATCCTGCAACAACAAAAAGGTACGCTTTAATTTCTAAGTGATGGTTTAAAATGAAATGATAACTAACAAATATAGGTGTTCTTCAATATAACTTTTTAAGCGTGTGAGAGAATGTTGTTTCGTGTCACAGCAGCAGTAGCCTTGGAAAACAAACTGGTTGCGTCGTCACTGAGTTTTCGTTAGATATCTCAGATTAGATTTAATTACAGGTAACAAGAGTGAGTGTGTGAGTTGGGTTTAACGCCATTTCGAATAGTCTATCTGTTCTGTGATAGTGTGTCAGCTTCATTTGAGAGGTACGCCCGAAGTGATGCAGATCGTAGATATTTGCTAGTAACTTTATTTGATGCTCGGGTATGGTACTGACTGTAATCAGAGCAAACCTGTGAGTCAAACAAACGTTCATAGGTTCCTTACGCGCCAGAGGGACGCAACTCTGCACAGCAAAATGCGGCGCCTGACACGAATGAAAACCCCATGCCCTATACAAGGAGCGAATATGCATATAATTAAGTCTGGTGATGGATAATGCAGCAGGCAGCAATTGTAAAGGATCTTCAGTATCATATAGTGAGTGAGTGAGTGAGTGAGTGAGTGAGTGAGTGAGTGAGTGAGTGAGTGAGTGAGTGAGTGAGTGAGTGAGTGAGTGAGTGAGTGAGTGAGTGAGTGAGTGAGTGAGTGAGTGAGTGAGTGAGTGAGTGAGTGAGTGAGTTGGGTTTAACGCCACTTTTAACAGCATTCCAGTTATATCACGGCGTGTCAACTTAATGTGGGAGGAAGCTCGAAATGATGCAGGTCTTAGACGTTTACCACTTCGGTGAAACCCACGAACACGGGTATGGTGCTGACAAACCTAGAAACATAATTGGGGCGAACCGGGATTCGAACCAACAATCATAGGTTTCTGGCGTGTCCAAGGGACGCAACTCTGCACAGCGAATCGCGGCGCCTCAGACGACTGAGCCACCCATGCCCCCCTACATAAAAGAAATAAGAAATATAGTATCATATAGCGTCACGTGGACCAACCAATAATCATTCTCACTCTCAGTGTGTGCAAAGTAAACATTTTATAAATTGATTTGAAGCATATTCCTTGTTGTCTTACTTGATTTTAGTTCTTGTGTCTTCTGTTTGGGCTGCCTTGGTCGACAGAAGTATGTATATTAATTTGCCAATGACTATAAAATTAACCTGAAATAAAACAATACATTTGTATGATATATACATAAACTAAAGGAAGAAAGTAACTATAGGGTTCAATAAAAATATATTTTTTCTGAATTTAAATAATGCATCTTTCAATACATATTCATGATTATGTCACCTCTACTTTAAGATCGTTATTCGCAACTAGTGCGTGCATGTTAATCCACGGCGCACAATTTGGATGTTTATGTTGTTGGGAACATGATTTCCATACGCCTGAATGTTAACCTGAACAGCACACAATAATTGTTTAGCTCTCACGTGCTCCTGAAATCGAGTTTGTAAATAATGCTTACGAAATGCCACGCCTTGCTTAAAGTCAAAGCCTACGCGCCGTGGGCCTGCTTCAAACAAGAATAGTGCAACACGAAGTTGCTAGACATTTTAATGGTCATCGAAACACGATATTGTTTCTTTGGAGAGGTTATCCACAGCAGGGCAACACTCATAACTTGTCACGGGTAGGTCATCCATGTGTGACGTCACGTCAATAAGATGACCATATTCGGTTGACGCATCTACAGAATCGATCCCAAACTGCCTCATCAACAAGTCGAACAATTCCGGGGATGAGGCCGGTTAGTGGTAGAAACGTACGCCGTCGGAGGAGGGAGCACGACGTCCGACCACGACGTCCTGCGATACGCCCAGTTGTGCTTTCATGTCACCGTTAGGTATGTCACGCTGCAGCAGAATAAAGCCCGCGCACATAGTGCACGTGTTGTGACAGACCTTTGAGGCAGCATAACATTACTGTACTACCATGGCCGGCTGTTCATCCAGACCTCTCCCTTATAGAACAAGTCTGGAATGAAACTGGACGACCCCTACGACAGGACCAGAAGCAGCCGGTAACGTTAACTCAGTTGGGCCAATCTTTGGTTGACATCCCCCATGATGTTATCAACCATCTTGAGTCTTCAATGCACATTTACATCACTTTATATGGAGCACAGTTACCTTTTTTCCGCTAGTATATATATGTCAGACATATTTAGTTGTACACGTTCCTATTATACCACTTATGTGCAATAATACATTTTCCAGCTTCATTAACGTGGCCTGTAAAAAATCAAATCTGGACCACGAAAAACGTTCAGAGCAGTCGCGGTACGTTGACGAGCAATCAACCAAGGCACCGATCCTGACCACCGATCCATTTTCGACGCCTTTTACGAAATGCATACATGTATGTAACTAAGATCATAAATGTCTTGGCAGACGTTTAAACAAACTTACCAGTTACGGTATCTGTATTTGAATTATGACTATCGATGTACGAGTGAATCACACCATGTTATGGATATTCATTGCGAAAAAAGCTTTCATGCTTCTTTGGTATCCTTCATAATTGCTTTCCATGTATTTGTACAATCAATTACTCACAGCAACTATGACAACGACCGGTCCAATGAAGGCCCATCTCATATTATCCTCCAGTGGCAACCAGCAACTGTGGAGAATAGATGATAAAACAAATGATGTAAGCCATTTTATTATCAGAGCCTCTTGTAGCAAACGTCTTTCCGTGTTCAGCGGTAGAAAATGTGGTCACACAAGTGAATGGTGCCAGTCAAACGGTACAACAATGCCAGCATTACTTACTACTGTCTTGTGTGTCCTCGCGATTCCGAAACGACCGTCGTAATGGCCACTATTATCACGGGGAAAACTGAAAAAGATTGAAGTTTTAAGTAAATGACATTATACTAAGGTTTCCACCAGAAGAGACTGTAGTGAAAACCCCTCTTGCTGTGTTGGCAGTACTAAGGAGAGTAGTAGTAGTAGTAGTAGTAGTAGTAGTAGTAGTAGTAGTAGTAGTAGAAGTAGTAGTTATAGTAGTTCATGTAGTAGTTCATGTAGTAGTAGTAGTAGTAGTAGTGGTAGTTGTAGTTGTAGTAGTAGTAGTTTATGATGTAGTAGTAGTAGTAGTAGTAGTTGCATGTTATTAGTTGTGGTGTCTTTAGATGTCGTATACGGTGTTATACCAGGTTAGCAGAAGAATATTTACAACCGTTGACGTAAGGGTCAAAGCGAGACTTCTCTTCAAACCTTAGAGGCCAAACCGTGTTGATAATTTTAACTATAATCCATATAAAAACATTCACCAACGTGATCTAAAAATTATGAATGTCCTTGCACATCAACATTAAAAATATTAAAACTCAAAACAGTGTCGAATAACGAATTTCTGTACCAGAAGTTTAATGTGAAATATGTGAGGTGGGTGTTGGAAAAACCAAATGGATGTTACTGACGGCATACAGTTTCATATTAGGCAAGTAACAGCCATCTTGGAGTAGTAGTAGTAGTAGTAGTAGTAGTAGTAGTAGTAGTAGAAGTAGTAGTAGTAGTAGAAGTAGTAGTAGTAGTAGTAGTAGAAGTAGAAGTAGTAGTAGTAGTAGTAGTGGTAGTAGTAGAAGTAGCAGTAGTAGTAGTAGTAGAAGTAGTAGTAGTAGTAGAAGTAGCAGTAGTAGTAGTAGAAGTAGTAGTAGTAGTAGTAGTAGTAGTAGTAGTAGTAGTAGCAAGACATACCCCAGGCTCCGATTAAGAGAACTTTGAGATTGGATCCAGTCGTGAATACAACAACAATAGTCCACAATGTCTCAAGAGCAGAAGCCAGCATCATGAAGAAACTCGCCAGGTAGAAGAAGTGGAGGGCCACAGCAATGGACGTACAGACATACTGAAACACGCTTCACTGATAACGTACTTCACGTACCACATTTGTCAGGTCGTGATACACACAATGTGATTGTTGAATGCACATTACATACATGTATATAAAAGATACAAAACCCTTTCCACACCCATGAAGATCCCACTGCTAAAAACAGAGTTGATTGTACGTTTCCGACTACATCAAAATCATTTTATTTTATTAATGAAATATGATACTGGGTGTACAGATTTCCATAGGACACTGTATACAATAATTATGAAACGTCGGTCTCAAATATTATTTCATTGGGTGTAAAATATAGTCAAAATTGTGAGGAAAATGACATTTTACACTGAAAATCAGTGATGACACCAGGTGTTCGTAAAAATGGTTTGCATGTCCTGCAGTGCAATGTACAGAACAGGAATAAGGTCCCTCGTTACAAAATAAATAATATTTTATTAGATTAATATGTTCATTATATGCAGGTTTTGGGAATTTATGTTTGTTCACTTAGATGCTTTGAGATCGTTCCACTACATGTCCATCTTCGGTAAAACGCGAAACCAATAATCAGTTACAACCAGAAGACCAGAAGTCATTCGCGTCAATTACTCACTTCATATTTTGTCTGTTCCACTCCAGCCGTAAACAGGATCATAGCAATAGTAAGGCATATACAAATGTGCATCAAGATCGTAGCTTGGTCCGATTTTACGTATCTGGAACACAACGTTATATATAATAAAAGAGACATAATCCCTACCATATTCACAAGAAATGTCTGCTAAAAGCATAGTCCATAGTACGATTCTGACTATATAATGAGCATTTGCTTATGAATCACTATCAAATTGTGATGCTACCATGTGGTCGCGAAAAGGTGAGCGTATACTGCCTCACCAGTGGCACCCGTCACAAACACATGCAAAGGCACCACCTGGTTGACCACACAGGAACATATGTATTTCATCGAACATCATTTTCCTCTGATGCGTTTTTTTTAACGTGGTTAAATCTACAGGTAAGCTAGCTCTACTTTCAAACAGTAAGTTTATCTCCCAATTAATTGTTAATTACAAATCGGCATCTATATGAGTGAGTGAGTGAGTTTGGTATAACGCCGGTTGGTGTGGGAGAAAAGACTACCAGTTTTGTGAAACCTACAAGCACGACAATGAATGTGGGATTATATGACTCCGCACAGCTGGGCACTCTTTCCCCTCATTAAGTCCAAGTGCAACACAACCTTTCCTGTTCCGAGTCTTTTAACACAAAATGTGAATCTCGTTAGATACATGTGTCTCCTCAATGTGAAGCACATGATCTCTGCCACTTTTGTAATCACTGACAGTTGAAGATATGATATTTGTTTAACCAATGTTAGAACCAGTGAGGTCACGGATATAGAAACTACTGTTGTAATCAATGACAATGAAAACAAGGAGACCCTTTACCTCCACAAGCAGCTGTATGTAGCCTTTGTTAGAGCCAGTGAGGTCACGGATATAGAAACCACTGTTGTAATCAATGACAATGAAAACAAGGAGACCCTTTACCTCCACAGGAAGATGTATGTAGCCATTGTCAGAACCAGTGAGGTCACGGATATAGAAACCACTGTTGTAATCAATGACAATGAAAACAAGGAGACCCTTTACCTCCACAAGCAGCTGTATGTAGCCTTTGTTAGAACCAGTGAGGTCACGGATATAGAAACCACTGTTGTAATCAATGACAATGAAAACAAGGAGACCCTTTACCTCCACAGGAAGATGTATGTAGCCATTGTCAGAACCAGTGAGGTCACGGATATAGAAACCACTGTTGTAATCAATGACAATGAAAACAAGGAGACCCTTTACCTCCACAAGCAGCTGTATGTAGCCTTTGTTAGAGCCAGTGAGGTCACGGATATAGAAACCACTGTTGTAATCAATGACAATGAAAACAAGGAGACCCTTTACCTCCACAGGAAGATGTATGTAGCCATTGTCAGAACCAGTGAGGTCACGGATATAGAAACCACTGTTGTAATCAATTACAATGAAACCCAGATCATTTACCTCCACAGGCAGATGTGTATAACCACTGTTAGAACCATTGCCAACACAGAAATACTGCATCCTACCAAGGAGATTACTGACAATGACAGCGGTGGTTGTTTCAAGTCATCCGCCTTCTGAAATCATTAATTACATCATTGATTAACATGAAAGACAAAGGTAGCGTCAATTCGACCATTGACTGTAATTAGTTGTTGAAACGTTCTTTAAAATTCTAATGGCAATGATGTTTAGTATCTGCTTGATATACATTTCAATGGTTTTCGATATAAATCACAGTTTTTGTATAAACGAATTCATCATACCGAACGTTCTTTGCCAAATAATATCATATTGTTATGCCACAAATCTGTTTGGGTTTTGAGGCTTTTAGCCATTGCCAGGTCATCATAGATCCAAAACATCAATTGCAAATAAAAGGTTTTAATCACAATTATAAGCGGTGTTACAGTAAACTACAGTTATAACTCGAGGGGACCACTAATTTTAGTTCGTAATAACCGTAGTTCGTTATAAGCATACATACAGCATATATGTACATCAAATGGTCGGTACTAAAAATATACTCGTTATATCGGTATGTTCGTTATAAGCGTGTTCGTTTTAAACGTAGTTTGCCGTATTTAGAAAGGAGAATAAACTTAATCTCACTGGATACCCACTACTTATGTGTAATTCTTGACAAACTTATGTACAGCTATTGTCTATCAGAAAACATGCAACTGTATAGATAACAATCTCTGGTTTCTTGTATCATAGATCCTTTGAGGGCTGATTGGTGGAAGGTGGATAACCATCCTTCAAGCAAATCCCCTAACAGTAAAAGGAGTGATCTACAACATTAATCGTGACTGTGGTAACTCGTATATTTGTGAAATATCCAAGAACAGAAAACTGCAACAGCCAAAGCAGAAAGCACCTCAGCCCGCTCAGACCACCTGCAAACTTTCCCTAAACATCAAGTTCAATTTGATAAATTCCAAATTCTATAACCCTAAAAAATCAACAGAGGTTAAGGGTGTTACTTCCCCTCTGCCTAATCAAGCAATAGACACATTTTTTATATCTTATCAGTTATCTGTGTGTAGTTTGTTATCAATTAGTAGTGTGTTAATTGTTATCTATTTCCTACCGGTGTTATGTTAATCTGCTACTTATAATAAAGAAGTGACTTTCACTTTGTGTGAGTTCATTGGAGTGTAAACCTTTATAGAGTGAGGGTCATAAAATGTTTGGCCTTCACTCGAAGGTACCACTACCTCTCTCAAGTTGTGAAATGTAGACAGCAAAGGCTGAATCTAATGGAATATTTCTCGACATAACGAGAAAGATGACCACTGGAAGGTCTAAATCATCCCTATTGTTGAGGGTTGTTTTGGTCGATCTGAATCTTTAAACATAGAACTAAATGTGAAACAGACTTACCAGTCTTGCCTGGACTACTTTATCACTAGTTCAGATGGGTAAATCAATTAAACGAAATTGGCTATGTGACCGTTATTGAATATCAGATTAAACTCACCGCACGCATCAGTAACGCATAGTTAGTCAGGTGACTACAGAAACACTCCGTGTAATTTTCTCCTTGGTTCCTGGTGTAACATCCTCTGGATTCCCATTTGCTAAAAAAGCAAATGCCTTTATCATATAATGGTTAGTGCACTACACTAAACGAAAAACCTGACACCACGAGCCAATATATACGCAGGAATCGGTTCAATGTCTGCGTTCTCAATACACAACAGTTCATATGCAGTTCATGCAAATACCATATTAATACGAGGTTTCTAAACCTTCGCTTCCTGAGCGACATTACGTCCTACACGACGATTATTTTAAGCACATGAAGGACATTATACGATAAAGATATTCTTACGCTCGTGTGTTTCCGTACCGTAAATACCACCTATTAGGTAGACAATTAGTATGTACAAGACTCACATAATACAATTTCTATTACATATTATTATATGTTGTCTTAAAATATGTTATTTATAATACGCAGCTAATAATCTCTATTTACAGTAAGCTTCTTGTTTGTATTTGCCGGAAACACTGAACATCAATTTCCTATGAAAACATTAGGCGTAATGTTGTACTCGAATAAGGTATCAGAAACTTTTTAACAAAAGCATTAAGGTTTCTGAAAATTCTTTTCAAATTAAAATGCAGGAAAAATTTGTATTTATGTTCTTTATGTGGTTCTGAGCTTGGTGGCTATTGAATACAGAATTTTTGTGGAACAGAGTTTATGAACATAATGATAAATGTTCGAAGACATCAAAACCGACATTTAGATTATAGATAGCATTTCCAGAAAAGATTTCTTTGAGTCTTGGGTCAATGCTTTAAATTGTACGCACTTTTCTGAAATGTTGAGATGTACACAAAGTGGATCTCCAAGTTGTGGTGATTTCTGTAATTTGATTACATTTCAAAATTAACAAATGTAGAATGCACATCCATATGACTTCGATTGATAATATTTACATTCTCCGAAAACATCAACACGGGACAATGGCGATACCATTAGCGTGCATTTTCAACTGATTTGAGTGTTTGTTGTTTAGCGCTGCCCTTCAAACTATATGGCGTCGGCCCGTAACTAATTGTCAGGACAAGACAAAATCAGTGACTGATATTGCGAGCAAGATCCCCGCCATCGGGTAAAATATAAAGCAATCAACCAGGTCACAGAGCCATACCAGCCGATCCATTGGGCATCATAGCTGCTGGTGTCCAATGTTCCCACCGTAATATTGCTGGAGTATTACTAAAAGCTGTGTAAAACAATACTCACTCACTCGCTGACTTACTCACTCACTCACTCACTCAAATTGCTTCATAATAACGTCATACACGTATTAAGTCCAGGAAGCAAATGATGCCTTTGACTCACTATAACCATATTTGTACCAACTGCTAGGGAGAGAACGTTATATCCTTGCAGATGTTGAAGATTACACACCGTAAACCATTAAAAGGAACATTTTGTACCAATCACCTACAACATGTTGCAGTTTCAGATGTAGCATTGGAGGTGGCCTAGTAATAAAAGCGTTATTTCTTCCCGCAAAAGGCCCAAGATCCATTCGCTACACGTGTATAGTGTGTGAAACCCCGTTTGGGTGTCCCTGCAGGTGTATTGCTAAAAGAAGGCAGAAAACGCACTCACGCATTCACTACACAATATGACATCCCATACAATGTGAGCGGAAAGTAACATCTTCCATCGTATTTCAAGACATGGGTAAACACAGTAACATGCATTAGTTAACGTTTAAATAATAATCTTGTTCCAAGGTTTTCAGAGCATGTTCGTAAACGTCAAAATAATCTTACATTCGAATCGTAAAAGGTCAGCTTGAGTGGCGGGTCCAGTTGCCCTGATGGCGCAGGAAATATGTTGAAAGCCAGAATGTCCTTGCTCACTTCAACCTGTCTTTAAAACGAGAAGTAATCGAACAAACATCAGGTTATTTATTCCGAATTTTCCAGAGTCACAAAAAACAGTATAAAATCATTTATTACACCACTGAATAGGACCTACATTTCAAATAAAATTGGGAAATAGAATGTATAATATCTGCATGGAATTACACACGGACAGTTCAAAGTCAGTATATTTCCAAAGTTTTTCTACAACTCTGACAGTGTAATTTGGTATTTCTCTCCATGGCGTCTCTAGAGATGGAAATATACTTAGGACTGCTCTTCAAATCATATTCCTCGGGGAGTAGAGATGAGATGTTCTTGTAGTAGATCACACTAAACCTTATGGAATCATTTCCTGGAGTAAATAAAATAAGCATTGGATTCATTAGTCATAACAAATGCCTTGGTAATTTGAATATCCTCAAAATCAAAATCATTTGATTTGATTCAAACATCAAATTTGATATCCTGTTGTAACTGCGAGAAAAAATGACAAAAGAATCATCTTGGAACCGGATGATTAATCAGTCTATTTTGTTTGGAGACACTTGTGGTCAAACAATTTTAATTTTAAACGTGTATGATCAATCTCGAATGGATACACACTCGATGGAAACACTGCTAATGATAATTGCAATGAGCGACAAAAGCACATTGTAATTGTTTCATATACCTGCCAGGTTGACCACTGTTTTACTGTCTAGCTTCAGTGCGCCGTAAATTTCCTGAGAAACATCAACCAGATCCTCAGAAAACACGATGTCCTTTACGTCCATGGGGTTTGTTTTACCAACCTGGAGAACTGGGAAAATCGCACTATTTACAATGAGTGAGTGAGTTGGGTTTAACGCCGCTTTTAACAGTATTACAGTTATATCACGGCGTGTCAGCTCAATGTGGGAGGAAAGCACGAAGTGATGCGAGTCTCAGACGTTTACCACTAAACCTAGAAACATAATCGGGGCGAACCGGGATTCGAGCCCACAATCATAGGTTTCTGGCGTGCCCAAGGGACGCCACTCTGCACAGCGAGTCGCGGCGCCTTAGACGACTGGGCCACCCGTGCCCCCTATTTACAATGTAGTAAACCTTGCATTACTGACACGGCTTTGAGCATTATGTCACTCATATCACTGCTTGCCACCTTAATGTCACCTTTTCTTTAAGAGTGTTGTGTATTGTGAATAGTATAACCAATTGTCATTTCCTTCAGCATAGATTTATACACATAATATTAAGAATGTTCATTTTCATATTGACAGTTTATTCCAAATATTGATAGCTTGAATCCATAAGCACATGGTAAAGTGAAGTATAAAACTTCAGTATGACAATTAACAATAAATGTAACAATAAGGAAAAGATACATTTGTTAATCTAATAGAGAACACTAAGTGACACTGTAACAAACGTGAACACAATATTTGAATAACTTATTTTCTCGGGAGGGTATAAGAAACGAAACTGATTTGAAAACACAGACGTAAACTTTAATAAAGATAGCTTTGTAAAGAAAAACGCTGATGCCCAACTGATATTACGAAATATGTGCCAAGTTTCATTATTCTGTAGTGTGAAGCTAGTAGTGCCTTAATGAGATTAACAATTGTTCTCGCTTATCCCAGCAAATCAGTAGGACATGATAGATACTTTGGCTTTTGGTTTACCAATGTTAGAAAACGTTAATGTCTTCAATTCTCCTTCATCCAGGCTTTCCGAATATATATCAGTCATGCTGTCCGCGAAGTCAAGCATCTTAGTTGGAAGCGTTTGGTTCTGAAAGAGAAACACAATGCACCAAAGATACTTCGGGCGAAGCTAATATGAACGTGCACAAAAAGGTTAATCTGTCACTGAATGTAACAAATTCAAAGTGAGATCAAATACTGTCACAAATCCGACTGTCGGACCAGAACACAAGTGTACACGCATTGCAAGGATGGATATTAACAATGCTACAGTCGTATTTCCAGAAATGATTTTGCTATCCCAAAATGACACATCAAAGCACGAATATAAGTGAAAATGTACCTACCTCTAAAGTCTTCCATAGCTCTGCTGTTTTGGAATCCAGTAAGTTACTGATGGACTCAATATATGCCTGAAACAATTTTCATTGCTGAAGAATAATTGTAATTTGACAAAAAGGACATGCGTGTTTGTCTCGTCCGAAAGGCAGTAATAGACGAAAACTATTCGCTACTGTTCGAAGAAAGCCATGTGGAGGGTTCTATTTGTCGTTTCTATTTCTATAGCTCAGTGGTTACACTACAAGTCGCTAATGTTCGCATTTCTTTCTGACGATGCACACATTCCTCTTGACCTGTATATGTTTGAGTAAAGATAAAGCTTCAGTCAACTTCAGTGAACGGATGATCTGATTGTTTGATACATGTATGTAAATAGTTTTGGCCAGGGCTGCGGTAAAACAACCATACATTTTGTTCCCAATTCCTGAGACCTGCTGTGGATACGCGGTTAGGCTCGGATACCCGGGTAGTAATTTTGGACGCGTCCCTAATTCCTACATATAATCACCAATGTGTGACCACATGTATCCTTTTGAACGTTTAAGAAATAATAAAGACATCGCTCTTGTATATGTCCTTGAGGCAACGTACTTTGTTGCATTATAAATATGCATCATTACCATTATGTAAATATTCACAATGTATTTCAATTTTTACTCAATGACATTATCATGAGGCGACAAGTGTGACATGTTTCCGTTGTTTGAGAAGACACCTTATTTAAAGTCGATTTGATAACTTGCACATGTTTATGGTACACATACTCGCTCACTCACACACACATGCACGCAAGCACACACATACAAACGCAGGCACACACACAAACACACGTAAGCACACACAAACGCAAGCAATCACACACATAATACACACATACGCACGCACGCACACAAAGGTATTTAACCAAAAACAACAAAGTATTCAACTAATCTGCCGTGCAGAAGTAAGTATACACTTGAAAATTGGTTTTGACAAAACGTTAATTCTTTATCAAAACTTAACTATGCTGAAAACAGTCGACGTAAGCTAAGGTCCAAAACACAACTAAAATACATCACCATCGAAGAACCATTTCTTGTTTGTTTCCTTTTCAGCCACGATCAAATATTGGGTGTATACTTTCTTCTCCCGGCAGTTTAAACTGTTTTGGTTTTTTTTCGAAATTCTCAGTTGCAAACCCTTTCGGAGTCTTCAGTCTCATTCTTGTCCGCTGCGATGTGTCTGTCCCCGAATGTTTTCAACCATTGCTCCATTAATCGAGTCAAAACAGCAATCTCTTTGCTCCCAAGTCTGCCGGAATTCGTGTGTCTTAAGAGAGTTGTGACTGAGATATTTTTTAGTAGCAGGCCATCCTTCATCCGTTCCATCTATAACAGAAGTTCGTATTATGCCTTCACCTGTCGCTCAAATACACTGAAACAAATTGTGAATGATTGAACATGAACGTCAAAACCAGAGAATAATCAGTCTCGATAATCTGCAACAGATTCCATTGAGGGTAAAAAGCAAACCAGCGGAGAAAATGATATGAATGCCATAATTCAAGACATTGACTGACGACCAATTGATCACACACATATATAAGTCAAGAAATCAATATGGAGGAAATGTAATGTAATCGACGCGCGGTGGTAGTACACATCCATTATTAAATCTACTCCTGTTCAAATTGTTTTCCATAAAATGAAGATAGGAGCTGCCTACAGTGCTAACATGTATTCTGGTTGCCTTGGTTAAATCACTATGCGTTTCTTTCACTGATATTGTCATTTATTAGCACAGGGGTTAAATCAATGTCAATGAAGAATCATTCTGTGAAGGCAACATCAACCAAATAACAAACATATATATCGATATAATAGTAATGTAATCGATATAACAGTAACGGGATATGTGTGAACGTCAGAACACGTTTCAATACATTCGTCACAACTCGCCCGTTTCCGTAACCTGCAAGAAGACTCGTCCCCCTATCGATGAATGTCATGTGCGAAAATACGACAAACCAATCAGAATGCGCGTATGACTTCAATTACTTCGGTCAAAGAATCCCTCGGGAAAAATGTTTGATTTTTTATGTCTTGCATTTAAAAATATACGCAAGATACATTTAAATGTATTCAACCGTAATGTATAATAATATAAGTTCCGATGAGTTTTCAATAGCATCTGGAATATATATGATATATGGGGGAATCATGACTCAACGAGTTGACAATTCTTTTAGCTATGCCCGTTTGCGCTTAGACGGAACCCAGTCGCAATAATGGCAACGAGATGGGTACGAGTCGCTATTCGGCTTTGCATACTGTATGCATGATCTATTATTGTCTTGTATTGTGAATTAACGAAAGCGAGCCTATGGTAACATATTGCCATTGGGAATGGTCTATAGTATTGTTGGAATCTATGTGTAATGAAAAATGGCGAATTGGAAACCGTCCAACATGTTAGACTTGTTACATAAATTATATTCAGAATGTTAAGAGAACGCAATATCACCGCAATATGGTGTTATTAGGAACTTCGTGTCAGCATCATTCTGGTTATATAGTCAGAATACTGTCGCTAACGTGCATCCAGCGGATAAACAATGACAATAGAAAGTCGTTACTTACCTCATCGTTGAGGTCTTGTATACCTCTACTGACACACTGACTCCTGTCTTCTTCCAGCCATTGTCTTTCATCACCGCACGTTCGTGTCATCACGCCTACAAGAAGGTATTCTTACAGATGGAAACACTGCATATATGCAATGAATCAATGAGTCCACTTTGTGGTGATGCTCAAGTAATGGCTACCGGTAAAGCGGGACGTGCTCAGCATTCTTGCTGACGCATGGGGCAATCATTGTTTTTCAGTGATCCATTCATTTGCGTTCAACAGATAATCGAGACTGATTATTCTTTGGCGTTGGCGTTTCGAATTCAAGTAACTTATAATACAACCCGTGAAGATCCGGGTTAGAATAGGTCTTCAGCAACCCATGTTTGCTGTAAAACGCGACTATGCTTGTCATCACATCCCTTCCTTGTTTTCATGTCTGACCGACCCGTGAAGATCCGGGGTAGAATAGGTCTTTAGAAACCGATATTGCCGTAAAAGGCGACTATGCTTGTCGTAATAGCCGGCTACGGGATCGGGTGGTCAGATTCGCTGACTTGGTTGATGCATGTCATCGATCCCAAATACGTGATACCAATCACTGGATTGTCTGGTCCAGACTCGATTATTTACAGACCGCCGTCATAAATCTGGAATATTGCTGAGTGCGGCGTAAAACAACCGGCCAACCTAATAATACAAGTGACTGTTTCATGATGAATAGGAGATGCTTCTACTACTACTACTACTACTACTACTACTACTACTACTGCTGCTACTACGGCTACTACTACTACTGGATTATCTGGTCCTGACTCGATTATTTACAGAACGACATCATATAGCTGGAACAGTGCTATGTGCGGTGTTAACCAACAAACAAACCTACTAGTACGACGACGACACAACTACTACTACTACTACTACTACTACTACGACTGCTAATGCTAAAGGATGTTCTACTACTACTACAACAACAACTACTTCTACGACTACTAATGCTAAAAGGATCCTTTCGTATCTGTTTACTATACACAATTGGAATATAAAATAGAATCACGGCGGGCGACATCAGAAACGGCTTCACAAATTGTAACCATATGGGAAATTGAACCTTGGCCTGGGCGTGACGGGCGAATGCTTTAACCACTAGGCTACCCTACCGCCCCTAATTGCCACTGTTTATACCTCTGAGATGATTGCACTTTGTGACCTGACACTCAGTGTATTCCGAAATCTTTGATGAACATGTAACGTTCCCTTGGCGTTATGCAGGTCATCCCAAAACAACACGTCTTTGACCGTCACATGAACAGAAAAACATGAAACACCAAGTTCATTAAAACCTAAACTCGTCAATCATTTTCAATTTGCAGTGACACTAGACATCTACGAATATGGTAAGCATACCATCATAAAAGCATCTATATGGTAAATACAAGTCATCACTCGGTCCAATATAGTGTGAATAAAAGCGAGAGAACCCTTTCCATGGCCATAAGAAATCTCTTCTAAAAGCAGAATCGCTTGTTAGATTCCGACTATAACATGAGCATGATTGTGTTCATGAATCACCATCAAATAGTGATGATAACAGGTGTTTGCGAAAATGTGAACGTATCCTGCCACACTGGTGGCACCTGTCACAAACACATACAAAGGAGAGTCAATTGTTCACCTGAAACAACACGGGAACATAAGTGAAAATAGAAAACTGCATCGGATATCATTTTTGTCACTGATGCATCTAATCTGGAAATGTCCTCCACATGTCTACCATAAAACCTTTTAGAAAAAGCTTTACTGAGGCCTTGAACGTTGTAAACATAATCCGAGTAAGGGTCGTATGGGGCTCATTGAAATCTTCGTAGAAAGACCATACTGGATTTTACCTCAAAAGTTGTGAAATGTAAATACAAAGGATAGATCTGCTGGAATATTGCTCGACACGGGAAACTTGAAGTCATCCCCTCTTGCATACAGTCTTGGGGAGAGGTTTTTGGAAGTCAATCTGAATCTTTATGCACAGATCTCAACATGAAACAGACGAGGCCGACCCATTGGCTTCTTTCAGGTAGGAAATCAATGGAAGAGAATTGGCTATGTGATGTTATTGACCAACATCAGATCATCTGTATACCTGAAGCTTAAGTTAAACTTCTGTAGCCCTTTTCTGGTGTCACCCGCCTCTATATTGCTGGATTGTTGCTAAAAGCTGCAATTTACTCACTCGTGATGACATATATTGCATAGGAATATCAACGTCTTCCTATTGCTCATATCTAAACCATTTGTGATGATCACAGTGTAAATCCGAATGGTTATTATTTGTGTGCAGCAACTCACCCAGCTCTTCCTCAGGGCATGGTCTTTCCGCTGTGATGTTAATAGGTGTTTTTAACCACGAGTTGTCATCGTCACATCGCTTCACCTCAGCTGAAAATGCCAATACACATTTACATTCAGTATGACAATTTGTATAACACGTACAATAAAACAACGTTGCAAGCAATAAACAAAATACTCAATATATGTAGCTAACCTGGTTACAGGACATAACATTCTATTAATATTTTGCCTTCATCATTATTTTGAAAAGGTATATAATAATGTGAAACAAATTAAGTCATTGTAAAATAGTACTATCCAACGTGAAGGTAACTTGAGTTGACAAGGTGACATTGCATGGTCAGTCAGTTCAGTCCTTAGACCCGTGAAGATCCGGGTTAGAATAGGTCTTCAGCAACCCATGCTTGCCGTAAAAGGTGACTATGCTTGTCGTAAAAGGCGACTAACGGGTTCGGGTGGTCAGACTCGCTAACTTGGTTGATGTATGTCATCGCATGGATCGATTTTCATGATGTCAATCACTGGATTGTCTGGTCCAGACTCGATTATTTACAGACCGCCATCTTATAGCTGGAATATTGCTGAGTGCGACGTTAAACAACAAACAAACAAGCAAAACAAACAAACAGTTCAGTCCTCATCATCAGGCAAACATATGTTCCAGGATAAAGTACAGCATATCGTTATGGCCACAGTTAAGTTTCATAGCAGATGAGGGGCAATGGTTTTACACCGCTTTTATCAATATTCCAGCAATATCACGATGGAGGGACACAAGAAAAAGGCTTCACACATTGTACCTATGTGGACAAGCGAACCCGGGTCTTCGACGTGAAGAGCGAACGCTTTAACCACTAGACTACCCCACCGCCCCAAAGGTTCATTGGAAGTATGCTTGAGTGAGTGAGTTAAAATGTAACGTCGCATCGGCATTATTTCCGCCATATAGAGACGAGACCAAGTTAATGTATTCACAATCGAGTAATTTATGCAAAGTAATATTTAAAAAAGTATGCTTGAAGAATAAAAATGTTGAAAAAATGTTTTCTTTTGGGGTTTCTAAGGTGGATAGAGCACTTCATCTCGGTTTCTTGTGAGATTTAAAAACCTGAGATACATGGGTATTTTATCTCATAAAATACTTCGCACATGTGTTATCCTGCACATAAAGCTGCCATGAAATATTATAACTGGATTACTCTTCAAGACAGTGTTAAATTCAAACCACTCTCTCAATTTTTTCTTTTTTGCAGATAACTTAACAAATAAAAGTTCCCTATATTGACTTTTTTCCATATGTTTCCGTGTTTGTTCAGGGGAACATTTAACTTGCCTTTGCATGTGTTTGTGACGGGTGCCAGCGGTGGGGCACTATACGTTCATCTCGCGAACACCTGGTATCATTACTATTTAATAGAGATTCATAAACACACATTTATGATATAGTCGGAATCGTACAATGTACTTTGCTTTTTGTAGAGATTACTTGCAAAACTAATATGTTTTTTCTATAACGTTTTTGTTTTCTTAAGCAGTAGAATCTCTGCATTTGTACACAGCAAATATTAATATAAAAATTATATATATTGTGGTTAGATTCGTCAGAGTCGGTGGATGCTGTATCGCTTGGGTGTCTAGTTCGTTAGCGGCACGCAGTAGTTGTGTGAGTGGCTTGAGTCATCACTGACTTCCGGTAATCCATTCAATCCGCGTACCAAGTCATGAAGCGTGATCTTTATGCAGAAACGACAGCTTGTATATCCAATCAGGGACTGGCTTTCTTTGCTCTTCAGCCTAGCCAATCAGTGTGTTACGACTCTTGGCCGATGACACCCGATCCTGTCGGAATGCTAGTCGTAGATCGTTCGGTTTCCGATCACTTGCGAAGACAAAGCAACTGTTAAAATCGTTGAATAATTATAACCGCTGTTTTGCTTTTTACGGATTATATACTCTTCAGAGAATAGGAGATCATGAAATATAAATGCTAGAACAAAGATAAGTGTTGATAACCTTTTTTTGCAAGAACGTTTATGTCTGTCAAACATAACACCAAAACACATCCTATAGTTTGCACGTGCCTCACGCAGAAGCGCCACACACATGCCAAGGCTGTCATTCGTGATCTTTTTCACTTTCAGAGAAGGTTCATTAATTTCTTATAATTATTCTTTTCAATCTTATTGATTCTGCTTATCATACAGTCATGATTTACTTCATTCATTACGAACTGTGTACGAACTGGCGATGCGACGTCTGCAACGCGGGGAGCGTCTACGTGTTGTTGGTATGCTGTGATTAGCAGACTATGAAACAGGTACCGACAAACCTAGAGGGATTTTATGTGCGCATCAGACATTAGGATATATTCATTTGGAGACAGTCCTCGTGCATTTACTTTTGACGAATCATTATCATTCTGTATAATCACGTTTTCATTGCGTTTCTATTACTGCTCTATAAAGTAGAGCTCTATAAAATCATTTCACTTACTGTCAATTAGTTGTAGCTATTCAATTTACAGTAGCCCCTTAATACCTTCGTTAATAGACAACGTCAGTTAATGAATGTATGAGTGAATATATATGAATGCATGAGTTTGTGATTGAGATTGTGCCTTGTGAGTTTCACTTTAACTAGTGGCGAAATGTATATGAAAAGGGGGTTTATTAACCACATATCTTTAAAGTAAAAAGTAAATACCAAAGGAAAGTGACTGTAAATTGTATGACGTCTTCATTAGCTTTCCGAGGGTACGATGCGCTCTTAAAATCTCAATGTTTTGCTATCTAAAAAAGAATAAATGTAAAGAAATGTATTTACAGTGTGAAGTTATCCAGTGCTCCAGTGCGTTCTAAATTAAATATTATTGGCTTTCCAACTTTTCAGGAATGAAAGCTGATAATATATGTGCCTTGAGGGGTTTCAGCGAAATACATGTGTTCTTGAAAACTGTTCATTGTGTATATGGCAGTGACGAAAAGTAAATGGCGCAACCAGTTAATCACCCATGATGCTTGTTTAAATGTTTCCGACAAAGTGAAAAAACACGACCAGTTAATTTTGATCACTTCAGGACTTCGTCCGATTTCAATGGAGATTGTCTGATAAAAAAACATATTGCCATGTAAACTGAAAAAGAATGCGGAATGATAAACACAAAATAGGTCCAACAAAATCTGCAAAAATTAAGAAATATATACAACGTTCAATGTGTTCATAAAAATGAGAATAAGAAATGGTTTGCCTGAACACTTACAAGGAATGGATTTATCAAATGTAGAGCTTTTGTTAAAACGTCTCGAAATGCTAAAGAATATTATACAGGCTTTCGGGAAATTTCATTTAATAATTTTAACATTAGAAAATCTTCGACACAAGATAATTATATTTGATTTGTTTGTTGTTTAACGCCGCACTCAACAATATTCCAGCTTTATGACGGCGATCTGTAAATAATCGAGTCTGGACAAAACAATCCAGTGATTGATATCATGAGCATCGACATAAAAGACAAAATAGCGGTGATAATTATATGAATGGATCACTGAAAATCCGTGATGACACAAGGTCTGCGCGAGAAGGATGAGCATGTCCTGCCCTACCATTAGCACCCGTCACTCACACACAGTGCATGAAACAGTGTGTGTTTGATTGTTGCCTGACGTCACCAGTACTCCTGCCATACGACGGAGGCTTGTACAGAAACCAGACAGTCAAGTGAAACATACCTCTCGCGTATCTCACATGAATTCGTGGCGACGGACCATAAATATTTTTCTTATGCATAGTAAAAGCCTTGAAACCAAAACCACACCGAGAACTAACCTTGTATGATGTACACCGCTGTTTCGTCACTTTTCCTGCCTTTGCCAAATCTATTTTCGCCTAAACATGAGTACGTTGCGTTGAAGCCTTGACTGCAATATACCAAGAGCTTACTTGTTGCTGAAACGTAGATAATTTCATACACCTCAGTGCGATGTCAACACTATGGATTCACACCCTAAGACAATGTCTAATACAGACTGAGACAGTATTCACAACCTATGACAACACTACTGTCAACAGTATTGGCAGAATGTGATTTGTCATGATGATTCGATTTAATAGTCTTGGGTGCCAGTTTGGTTAGAGATATTTCCAGTTTGGGATATTTCCAGTGTCTCTAAATATTATTGCTTCTCTGAAATGAGGGACCACCACGTTTAATACCTACAACCATCCAGAATGTCCACTGAAATATCTATTTTTGTATAAAATCGGGGGACAAATGATTTTGTTCAAGAATGTTCGGGAACAGAATATTATTTTCTAAAACATACCACCTCTAACTTTATATTCTCACCTCCACAAGAAATTCAAATACCATACATCTGGTTAATATATGAAGACTTACCTATGTTTAAGATATAATAGATTGGTTCGATGCACACACGAACATACTGGTATGTTGTGTGAACCGATACTCATGAACGCATCACATGTGACGTCAAAGATCCATGACTCGAGATGCACCATTTGTTTCGTGCAGGATTAGCGTGTAAAGTTTGGAAATCACGTGCAACATATCGTGATAAGAATATAGACACACTGTGGTAACACTGATTTTTAGTTTTGTCATTAATTGATACACGTTGGAAACATCTCTTCTGAACTTACATACTTCTCAATATGATTCTATGGTTCGCGTTTCTTTTGGCGGTGAGTATATATGTTTCTTCACAGCACTATGTTTAACTTTGATTACAATATAGGGAAGAACCCCAAAAGATCCTTCACTGGTGAGCTTACATTCTCCATCAACCTCCACGCCGTTACTGAACCACTTGATGACGGTGTCGTCGGGGAATGGCTGCGTCACTCTACAGTATAGGGAGGCAATTTCCCGAGGCTGTATGAAGACGTTCTTCTGGGATAGAAGCTTCACGGTCGGGGCGGCAAATACTTGCACTCGTCCACTGCAGCCAACTTCCTGGCCTGACTCGTCCAGGAGACTAAACGTAAAGTTTCCTGAAATGTACAAGTTACGTGGATGAGTTGGGCTCAATAGTATTTCAGTTATATCAGGATATGTCACTTTGATGTGAAGGAAAGCTTAACCTGATGTTTGTGTGCGTCAATGACCACTTTGATGTGAAGGAAAGCCTAACCTGATGTTGGTCCGTGTCAATGACCACTTTGATGTGAAGGAAAGCCTAACCTGATGTTGGTCTGTGTCAATGACCACTTTGATGTGAAGGAAAGCTTAACCTGATGTTGGTCCGTGCCAATGGCCACTTTGATGTGAAGGAAAGCTTAACCTGATGTTGGTCCGTGCTAATGACCACTTTCATGTTGAGGAAAGCTTAACCTGATGTTGGTCCGTGCCAATGACCACTTTGATGTAAAGTAAGCTTAACCTGATGCAAATCAGTGCCAATGACCACTTTGATGTAAGGAAAGCTTAACCCGATGTTGGTCTGTGCCAATGACCACTTTGATGTAAGGAAAGCCTGACCTGATGTTGGTCCTTGCCAATGACCACTTTGATGTTGAGGAAAGCCTGACCTGATGTTGGTTCTTGCCAATGACCACTTTGATGTTGAGGAAAGCCTAACCTGATGCTTGTCTGTGCCAATGACCACTTTGATGTAAAGTAAGCTTAACCTGATGCAGATCAGTGCCAACGACCACTTTGATGTGAAGGAAAGCTTAACCTGATGCAGGTCTGTGCCAAAGACCACTTTGATGTGAAGGAAATCCCAACCTGATGCAGGTCTGTGATAATGACCACTTTGATGTAAAGGATAGCTGAACCTGGTGTTGGTCCGTGCCAATGACCACTTTGATGTGAAGGAAAGCTTAACCTGATGTTGGTCCGTGCCAATGGCCACTTTGATGTGAAGGAAAGCTTAACCTGATGCAGGTCTGTGCCAATGACCACTTTGATGTGAAGGAAAGCCTAACCTGATGCAGGTCTGTGATAACGACCACTTTGATGTTGAGGAAAGCTTAACCTGATGTTGGTCCGTGCTAATGACCACTTTCATGTTGAGGAAAGCTTAACTTGATGTTGGTCCGTGCAAATGACCACTTTGATGTAAAGTAAGCTTAACCTGATGCAGATCAGTGCCAATGACCACTTTGATGTAAGGAAAGCTTAACCCGATGTTGGTCTGTGCCAATGACCCCTTTTATGTTAAGGAAAGCCTGACCTGATGTTGGTCCTTGCCAATGTCCACTTTGATGTTGAGGAAAGCCTGACCTGATGTTGGTCTGTGCCAATGACCACTTTGATGTTGAGGAAAGCTTAACCTGATGTTGGTCTGTGCCAATGACCATTTTGATGTGAAGGAAAGCCTGACCTGATGTTTGTCCTTGCCAATGACAACTTTGATGTGACGGAAAGCCTAACCTGACGTAGGTCTGTGCCAATGACCACTTAGATTAGGCTCCCACAAGCATGAATGAGGCAATATCTAGTTAAATGACGGCGGTCTGTAAATAATTGAGTCTGACAAACACTCGAGTAGTTGACGCGATGAGCATCGATGTACACAACTGTGATACGATGACATGCATCAACGACCACCCATCAGCCCTCTCTTACGATAAACATTGGTTGCTGAAGACCAATACTAACCCAGATCTACACGAGGCCATGAAACAGGTATTGACAGACCATGGATCGTGACTGGTGTCACTCTTGGCACGGTTTCAGGAATAATGTTTGTGCCCCCATCTGATATAATGAAGAGGCGAACTCCAGAACAATGCCCATTTGCTCACATTAGTGTTTAGGAATACTTGCATCACAGATCAATTTATATGACAATAAGTCCATACAGTTAATAAGATCACAAAATGGTCTTTAATCAAAATATCAAAATACATATTAGACATACTCACTGATTGCACATTAGGTGAGGTTAAATGGGGTTAAACGTCGTGTTCAAGATTATTGCCATTATAGAGCCACGTGCATGACCCACTCAGATACCGACTCCGAGCCGACCAGTCCTTGCTTTAGCCCCTTAATGCTGGGTGCCAGACAGTGTAACAAGTACCATATTTTAACGTCTTTTGGTATGACGCGGCCGGGGATCGAATCCCGGGTGGACGCTCTACCACTAGACCATGGAGGCAGTTGGATTACACATTAACATATGCATCAGATTTATAACACCATAAAACAGCAATGTTTATATCAATATGGCTGCGTTCATTCAGAAAATTATATCAGCATGTATCATCCAAACTATTTCTGAATTCATGTAATTCATGGACACAAACGTGATATTCAAAATGTTGTATGGGGTTTCATTACTTTTTGAGATACACAGTTTATATAGCAAGGGTTACCTGAATCTCTAACAATTACGTTATGAATGGTGAGAGTGCCGGTGTAATGATGTGCCGGTGAAATGGTGAGGCTGGTGACAAGTCGTGGATGTGATGGCGGTATTATGAATCTGTTGTCCAGCATCCTCCATTCCTCCTTGACGTTGCCAACAGGGTTTGGGAAAGTACCTGCACACGTCAGCTGTATCCGAGTGTTGTTCTTGGTATATAACGGAGTGCTGTCTACGTCAGTATTTGAATATTCAAATTCCCACAAATCGCGGTTATCTGAATGGAAATACACAATATTGTCAGTCCAAATAGGTTTATTGGTTTTAGTTCCCTCAAACTGCATTTTACTTAGCAATTATGCATAGATGCAATTGATTAATCAGATATTAAACCAGATATTATCTTCAAAGTGCAACACCGGATATAGAAAGTTCTTGATACGGATCCACAGTAATCTCCCTTTGTAGGCTAAAACAAACGATCCACTGATTGTCCTGGAAGGTGGTTTTAAGATTAAAGGAGTTTGACTGTCTGCATACATTTTGTTTGTTTCTTGGTTGCTAAACGCCGCACCCAACTATATGACGGCGGTGTGTACATAATCGAGTCTGGTCCAGACAATCCAATGATTGATATAATGAGCATCGTTCCACGCAATTAAAATACGTTGACATGCATCAACCAAGTCAGCGAGCCTGACCACCCGATCTCGTCAGTCGCCTCTTACGGCAAGCATGGGTTGCTGAAGACCTATTCTAACCCGGATCTTCACGGGTTAGTCTGCATATATGAATATAGTATTACTTTGAAATACTCAATTACACGCCACACTAGCAAAGCATCCAACTTTAGCATTTAGTGTAATTTGGTTAACACATGCGTGAATTTAAGCTTCCCTGCTTTTCAGAACTGTCTACCTCGCCCGAATATATTCGGCAGCACTCACCTGTTTCCGCATCTCGGAGTAAGGCATGTCCGGGAATGGTGTCCTCGTTTTCTAAACATAAAGAATGTCAGTGTTACTTAGTTAATACAGACATCAACGTGTAATAATCGAGTTCTCTTAACCCTCGTCAGGCTACCCTTTCTTACTTAGTATTTTAGCTTGTTCCACGTGGACTGTCACTTTCCGTTCTCTTGTAGAAATAACAGACCCGTGAAGATCCGGGGTAGGATAGGTCTTCAGCAATCCATGCTTGCCGTAAAAGGCGACTATACTTGTCGTAAGAGACGACTTACGGTATCGGGTGGTCAGGCTCGCTCCCAATTACGTGGATCGATGCTCATGATGTCAATTACTGGATTGTCTGGTCCAGGTTCGATTATTTACAGACCGCCGTCATATAGCTGGAATATTGCTGAGTGCGGCGTTAAACAACAGGCTAACAAACAAACATGCAGAGACCAAATACACCCAAAACCCGGGCCTAGGAGACCCATGGTAGCTCTCAATGAATAAACAATTTCAAATATTAAATATTAATTCAATATTTAGTTGCAGCACAAGGCTTGACGTGTGTACTTTGAGGCTTTAGAGGAATACATAGAACAATATTCTTTGGATTCAATGGCAGCCATACTACGTGCATTTAAACAGGCTACCGGGCTAAATGGCCCCAGGGAGACTGATGATGGTTACATTATGTCACGGCGTGGATCATCTTAGTATTTATTGATTTCAAAGTATTCAGTGTAGAACAGGTGGCCCAGTGGATCATTGAACGTGTAAGGATCCGCAGATCGTGGGTTTTAACCCATTATTCGACCATAACCCTTGACCACACATGGTATGTACATTCATGGTCACCATATTAGTAAGCGTCATCTTCTCCACCAAACTCATCTCACTCTCCCGTTCACTGTCTGAGAATTACAGCTTTAATTGATTAATTACTGATTGATGACGATAAATAACTAGTGTTAACAGGCTGTAACAAAACTATGTTTAATCACCTGTTTCACCCACTCACTCATAGCATCGGATTTGCCGTGACAATATCAGTGACCACTTGGTTGTACTTTACCCACCAGCATTACTTAAAGTATTTGCCTATGTTCGTGGTCAAGCCCTTGACTTAAGTTGTATTATGTTGCAAAATCAAAAGTGGAGGTTGAAGTTATATTGTTCTGACTTGATATGACAGCCTGAAAATCTATGTAGCGCCAACTCCAGCAAATGAGCAGTTTGCGCGTACATGAGAACATATGATCGCAAAGCAAACCGCATGAAATATTTTGGAATTCGACCATGATGCCTAAAACAAACATATAATAAATAATAAACCATTTTGTTAAATTTGATTTCATCTTCAAGATATGTTTGAACTGATTACAGTAAACTACGGTTAAAACGAACTCGAGGGGACCACTAACTTTAGTTCGAAATAACCGTAGCTCGTTATAAACATACATACAGTATATATACAACAAATGGTCGGGAATAAAAATAAGTTCGTTTTATCCGTCAGTAACATAGTTTACTGTACATTAAGATAATTCCTTGATGTATGTGGCACATAGTGGCAATAACCAGGTACACATTTTATATATAGCAATTTCGAAAATGCGAAAATGCAATGTTTGCAGGGGGGCACGGGTGGCCCAGTCGTCTAAGGCGCCGCGATTCGCTGTGCAGAGTTGCGTCCCTTGGGCACGCCAGAAACCTGTTATTGTGGGTTCGAATCCCGGTTCGCCCCAATTATGTTTCTAGGTTTGTCAGCACCATACCCGTGTTCGTGGGTTTCACCGAAGTGGTAAACGTCTGAGACCTGCATCACTTCGGGCTTTCCTCCCACATTAAGCTGACACGCCGCGATATAACTGGAATAATGTTCAAAGCGGTGTTAAACCCAACTCACTCACTCAATCACTCAATGTTTGCAAATCGTCTCCAAGGTAAACACATCACAGGAGGCCCGGGAGGAGAACAAACTACGAATAGTTACTACGTATATACCATCAACGTTTACTCCCTTTATGACCATACCAATTCTTTAATCTGATACCTTAAACAAACTTAAACTTAAACTTGTTTAATATTAATGCAGACGTTTTGGGTTGTCAGGGACTGTATTAAACCTTTGCTTTCTCAGTCGAAAACAAGCACAAAACGGAAACATTTGTATATCCAGAATCCCGTTAATCCATACTGGACGGGAACAAGTACATATTTCAACTATACCCATCAAAGGGTTCCGTAGAAAAGATCGAAATTCAATTTTAAAAAATGAAGTCTCGATATCAGGTTTTAAGTCATTTTGGATATGATGAACTAAAAGCTCAATGGTCGTTTGATCTTTCATTACTTGAAATATGATTCCGAAATATTATTCAGATATATCTTCTTTACTCTACATAACTATGTACACTGTAAAATGCATAATCAGGATCAGCTTGAAGATCAGGGTTAGGATTGATCTTCATCAACCAGTGAGTGAGTGAGTGAGTTGGGTTTTAACAGTATTCCAGTTATATCACGGCGTGTCAGCTTAATATGGGAGGTGAGCCCGAAGTCTTAGACGTTTACCACTTCCGTGAAACCCATGAGCAAGGGTATGGTGCTGACAAACCTAGAAACATAATTGGGGCGAACCGGGATTCGAACCCACAATCATAGGTTTCTGGCCCAAGGGACGCAACTCTGCACAGCGAATCGCGGCACCTTAGACGACTGGGCCACCCGTGCCCCCTCATTAACCAATGATTGTTATAAGAGGCGAGTATCAGGATCAGTTTGTCAGGATCACTGACTTGGTTAATGCATGTTGTTGTATCCCATATTGATGCTCATGATATCAATCACTGGATAGTCTCGCCCAGACTTGATTATTTACAGATAGCCGTTATAATACTGGAATATTGCTGAGTGAGCTATTTAACAACAAATATAACTATATATACACCTCAAACTGCAAAATGAGGAATGCGTCTTGTTTCGGCAAGGCTGATCATTCTCTGGTGTTGATGTTTCATATTTATATTTACAAAATGTCTAATGCATTATTTTCCTACCCTCATCCAGTGTCGAGAGGCTGACAATGTTGCTGCCTTCAGAAGTGAAGTAGTTGTTCACAGCCACGACATCAGCCTCGATCTCAGAGAATGAAGGCAAATAGTGCACCCAAGCCCTGATCTTGTCCGATTGTCTCCCTTTCCTTGTGACGTCGGCATCTGACGTGGCAGGGATAAACTTCTCGTGCATGCTGACCATATCGTCCTTCTCGTCTCTCCTCCAGTATCGAACCTGTCAACAATGTTGTACTGCACATAGGACTGACAAATTTAAGATAATCAATTTATGAGTGAGTGAGTTAATATTTAACGTCCCAGCAGTAGATCAGCCATATAGTGAAGATCCCTATGCTATTAAAATCTCACATGTACAAAGTGTGAATTAAATGATATTTGATGCGATCACCTCCCTGAGGAATCTAAATCACAATGTGTTCCCAGCACACTAAGCATTATGTTCTCAAACGATCACTGGCTTGCCTGGTCCAGAATCGATTTTACGCTACATGGCAAGAATATCGTAACAGCAAGACTTTACAACATTAAACCTAAGATGAACATATTTTAATGTACTCTAGTTACTCTTAATAATGACATATATCCTGGAACTATGCTGGCCCTAAAAGACATACGATTATGTGTTACCCAAGACTCAGAGTGAGTGAGTGAGTGAGTATGGTTTTACGCCGCTTTTAGCAATATTCCAGCAATATCACGGCGGGGGACACCAGAAATGGGCTTCACACATTATACCCATGTCGGGAATCGAACCCGGGTCTTCGGCGTGACGAGCGAACGCTTTAACCACTAGGCTACCCGACCGCCCCCCAAGACTCAGAAGTCTGAAGTATAATAGGGGACCATATATTGTTTTCGATAAAATCCCAGCCGCCCCTTGATTATGAAATAGTCGGTCCCTAACACAAGGGACACCTTGTAACCCTTGAACTCTCCCTGCATCGCCCCTGGGCTGGTATCAACCGGGTCCCAGCGGAATGCTGCACTTGTTGCCGTCACCTTCTCGTCCGGGTCCAACTCGAAGTTCGCAGGAATAACAGTTGGTGCTGAAACGTATGAACATTATATGTAATGTGAATTTGTTTTATATTCAACGCTGCATTGAACACTGTTTAAGCTATGCGACGTCGGCCTGTAAATAATTGAATGTGGACAATACGATCCTGTGTCGTCTCGTGATGCACTCGGGCCCTTCTGCCTAGGAGTATCCAGCCCTATTCTAACCAGGGACCCCCCCACCCCCCACCCCCCACCCCCCACCCCCCGCCTTATAGGGCTGGGACGAGTCAAGTTTTACTACCCGGGTACTCGACCACCCATTTAAACTATTTACCCATCCGACCCGAGTTCCCGGGTAACCCATCCAAACCCTTTCCCACTAGTTATGTCTTATGACACATTTCGTAAGGTTCAATGTTTCCAAATGTGACAGCTTTCAATGACTTTTTGACCCATCGTCTTTAGATATATTCCAGGTGGGTACAACCCACATTAATATTATAGGATGTCATTTTGGACCCCATTGCAACACGAATCTATGCCTAAACTTGCCATTTGTATGTTCCATTAATTTAAGCATTCTGTTAACGTTGATATTGCCTTTCAGTTAGATACTCATTATATAAACAGGTCATTAGTCAGGAGTAATGATACCTCAGTGGAAAATATAATAGTTATAGTAGGTAAAGAAACTGGAATTTGAAACTTGATGTAGTCCCACTGTAGTGTGTGATTCACTTTTTGTGTGAAAATGCATAATATGTTTAAAAGAATCACGCATTCTTTAATAAATTATTTAATATCATGGTAGATTTCCCAGTTGCCTTACCCCTCCCAATAGTTTAACGTGGCAACTTATGAGGATCAGGTAGTTACATTGTGTGATGTTGCAGATTTGTGTGACATCTTGCCCTGACGGCGTACATCGTTGCTCATGTTTTTCACCACTGGTTTCTGCAACCCACACTCGTTAATGCTATTACAGCAGTCAAGACCTTATAAAAGCTTTCAAAACGTTTCATGGTAGACCTATTGAGAAAATGTCCAAATGTAAAAAATGTAAAAAACTGTTCAGTGCATTTCCCTCTTTTGACTTGTACCATATATTCACTTTGCTAACCTTGCATACATTGGTGCTCCCTGTTCGCGAACACCTGGTATCATCACTGGACGGAATCATACACTGGGCTCTACTTTTCTCAAAGAATATATTCTCATGGATGTGGATATGGTTTTGTCTGTTATATTTACATGTCATGGTAAAATTAAACTATTGCTGATTTCAGCGTATATGACCAATCCTCAACCAACATTGTGGGTTATATCTGTAGAAGGATACTTACCTCCCTCGCCGGAATACCCCAGGATTGCCTGGGCTTTCTCAATTGGCCTGGCGACCTTGTTCTCAGCACCAACTGTTATCATATAAGGCTGATATATGTTGTTGACCAAAATCTCCTTCCTTCCCACGGTATAGTTTGTCTCCAAGGTGTTCATGGTGAGCCCCCCGTCCTTCTCCCGCACAGTGATATTATAGACGAAACCAGGTCCATTGTGATCAATCAGAGGCATGGCCTGCAATCAGAAAAATAGGGAGCTAATAGTTATAAGAATAGCATTTTACTATCTAATGTTACATTTGGTAACAAGATAAATCATTGAAGTCTTTGATAGGCATTTAGAAGTTGGAAGAACATAAATACATGACACTTTTTACATCTTCCCGAGGCAAGAGAGTTAACTGACTTTAAAAGTCCAGTTTCAACCCTTGCCGAACTAGGCTGGAATTCCTGGGCTCGATCGTAGCGCCACCAGTGGCTGTTATGAGTTATGTCCCTTCTATGCCTCTCCTATGGACCAATCAGATTACACCTCTCGTATCACTTGCATTTGCTTCTAACTAAATGGCGGCGCCCTTACAAGACGATCTGATCGACAATCAGGATCTATATTGTGATAAAACGGGACTTACATCGCGAAGTGCATCAAATCATGTGAGCACCTTGATAAAAAACATGAACAGATTTGAAACATATCTGTTGACAACGAGTTGGCGGTGCACATGCTTTGCAAATCCTGCAATCGACCGAACTCTGCATGACAGTTTACGAACTGGATTTCGGTGAGCCTTTTTTGATTGGACTATGCATAGACTCGTTAGTCTCGTTCCAGTTTTTTAAAGTATCGTTTAATACTTCTCCACACATGGATGATAAAAGTGCCGTGACTGCAAAGTGATACGAGAGGAAAATGGGCTTGACTGATGTGAGCACTAATTGGCTGGAGTGTTTGCCTTCTCGGTTCATTAGTGTTATTAGGCGGCTCCCCCGGGCTGCCCTGCTGGTCTGGTCGTGTTCCCCGCTGGATGTATCTCTGCTGGTTTCACTGACGGAGCTATATATAAAGGTGTGTTTTCTAGTTGGTCAGCCACGAACCTGCATCTGACTCACGATCTCAAAGACCTCTTTAGATGCTATCCGAAGGTGCTATATATCCTCCTCCGGTGTGCTACTGGTTGGGAGTCCCCATGGACCCTAGCATGGTGATCTACCTTCAGCTGCTGGCGATCTATAGCCTGTTTTTATCTTGTATCGTTATGTATAGTGCTATTCTCTTTTATAATTCCGTACTAGTTTTATATCTTTTTCTGTGATGAATCTAGTAATTTTACTGTCCTTCGTTGGCAGGTTTTTATACAAGTTTCAATATATGTATTATATTTAACTATTGATAGTCACGATATGGCTGAAATGTTGCCGATGTGACTTAAAATTTAACTCACTCACTCACTCACTACTGGTTGGGAAGGATATATACCCTTCAGTATTACAATGAGTTTAGCGACTGTCATGATCATTTGAAAATCAATACAATCACACCTGCACACACAGCCTCTGGCATGTTCTTGACGCAATAGGGGCACGGGTGGCCCACTCGTCTAAGGCGCCGCGATTCGCTGTGCAGAGTTGCGTCCTTTAGGCACGCTATAAATCTATGATTGTGGATTCGAATCCCGGTTCGCCTCGATTATGTTTCTAGGCTTGTCAGCACCATATCCGTGCTCGTGGGTTTCACCGAGGTTGTAAACGTCTAAGACCTGCATCACTTCGGGCTTTCCTCCCACATTAAGCTGACACGCCGTGATATAACTGGAATACTGTTTAAAGCGGCGTTACACCCAACTCACTCACTCCTTCTTGACGTAATAAGGATATGCCATTCAAAATAACATGGATCAGTGACTGCCCAATTCATTTATGGTCAACACAAACCCACCTGCCCACACATCCTCTGGCCACTCAAAAGAGCACTCAATCGTGATGCATCATGCGAAAAGTCAATATTCATTCAAAAGGATATATCAGCGAAGAAAAAAAGGAAAGCAAGAAATTGATATAAGTGGTTGTATCCTTGTATTTGCTTATGTACGGTTGTGATCTAATGAAATACTTGCTTGCTTGGTCTTTTGTTACCGGTACAGTCACCAATTTCAGCCTTAAAATGGTGGAACCTAGAATCCTGAGGGGACATGGTAAGACAGTGGCAAGTTAAAAAGTTGACATGCACTTCTGTGTAAGCAAACATATTTCGTCAAGAAAGCCTAGCACATGCGCCGATTAAGAGTGTTCCTTCGAAAGTTAAAACAGTTCAGCAAATGATATAAGAGTCGTCTTACCTCCCATTCCACAACTAAATAGTTGGTCTTGTCGCCTACAGTCCTAACGTTACGTGGATGTCGATCTGGACGCCCTTGGGGTGTCTTGCATTCTGTGTTGCTAATTGCACTTGCCTTCCCAACACCCTTCTCATTGATGGCTTTTACACGAAAATTGTATGTAACCCACAACGAAACATTTATCTTTGCCTGGCGAGCATCATCGGGCAGCCTTGCAGCAAAGACCCATTCGTTAGGGTCGAACGATGTATTGTATTCTACAATGAAACTTAGTTTGGGGGTTAGGTTTGCCTGTTTCTCGTCAAACTGCCACTCCAGAATGACATCCTTGGCATAGCACTGAAGCACAGTCACGTTGTAGGGGGGTTTTGGTGGAGCTGGAAGGAGATAACGATGGACGGGACATACAATGAAACCCCTCATCTCGAAGTCCTAGCACAATCAAAAATACTTCGCGAAATCTGTTTTAGCTCGAGTGGAGTTCGGATAAAATCCTGATTAGGATATGTTGCTGGTAACTTGATAATTAGTATACAAACTTGAAATACCATTTTTGGAAAATTTAATATCATAATGTGCCCGGTTCTTGTCTGAAATAGTATAATACAAAATCCACACATATATATGAGTGAGTGAGTGAGTTTGGTTTTACGCCGCTTTTAGCAATATTCCAGCAATATCACGGCGGGGGACACCAGAAATGGGCTTCACACAATGTACCCATGTCGGGATTCGAACCCGGGTCTTCGGCGTGACGAGCGAACGCTTTAACCACTAGGCTACCCGACCGCCCCCAAACATTTATGAAAGCACTGATGCACAGTATGTACAATATGCGCGATATGCTTAAGCAGGTCTTCATATAACTAGCAGGACTGAGGTGGCTGAAACAATATTGCCACGGCACTGTACATCATTACGGCTAAAAAGGGGCGGTCGGGTAGCCTCGTGGTTAAAGCGTTCGCTCGTCACGCCGAAGACCCGGGTTCGATTCCCGACATGGGTACAATGTGTGAAGCCCATTTCTGGTGTCCCCCGCCGTGATATTGCTGGAATATTGCTAAAAGCGGCGTAAAACCATACTCACTCACTCACTCACTCATTACGGCTAAAACCTGGAATTTCGATGTGACTGCCATAGCATAAAATATTCAAATATGACTCAACTATTTACAACTCAAAACTTGCCAAAATCACGGTTAAACTTAGAGTGACATTGTGTTGAACTACGATACATATACAATGTACACGTTATTGTTGATGAAATTGTTTAGCTTCGGATAAAGGTAAATGTATAGTTCGTCCCTTATAGGTTGGTATAGCTTTTCGAATCTATTCAAAGCATTGGTGGTTTTTTGCTATATGGTTATAAGTACGTGCTGATGATGAAAGAGTGATAACGATATAGGTTGAAATTATACTCATACCAGTATTGTTGGAGTATGTAAAAGACTTGACTGCTATCAGGTTGTAAAAGAAAATTAGGAGAAACACCATCACTGCCATCTGAGTCATCACCGCGTGACGTGGACCGGAAGTCCCTCTGCTGGCTGTCACTGATTTGTCAATGTAGGGACACAAAACAACATCCAGTAAGTGTTTAGTGACGAGATAATGTAAAAAATGAATTAAAAACCTGCCACTGCTCTCGAGCTGAAAAACACTTTGTATTTTCAGTCGGATTAACACTATTATTTACAGATAAAGTTCCTGAAGATCAGTGACAAAATACATGATCTCCTTATCTCTTTATCTCATATCGTGACTTGAAAAAGTTGTCCTTTTCACTCGTGGCCGAGAAAATATCAACTTTGTCAAGTAACTCGATGACATAGTCATTATGTTTATTGACAAAATGGAAATATTCCTTATATATGGCCAAGTTAAGACAGTTTCTCAAGATGCAACATCAATCGTTACACAATTTAAATTAAAACCTCTACATCATTACTGCTTTCATACGAATGTCTACACATAGATTCACGAGACAGGAGTTTCATCAGGCAGTACAATTGTAATTTAGCAATATCTAAATTTATTTGATGAGGAATTTAACATCATGGTACTGGGAAAACAATGATGTCTTACCTATAACCCAAAATATATCCTGAATGCAAATCTTTACAGCTAAAACATAGTGCAAAACACCTGTTAGTCACGTCAACTAATCATCTAGGGCATGTGAATACTCCCTTTGTGGGTTGATTTATCTTGGAGGGACTTAACAAACGTCGACATTAGTGGACCAGCATAGATCAGTCATCAAAAGAAATTTGACCAATTGTACCAATTGTTTCTACCAATCTTTCGGGGGCACGGGTGGCCCAGTCGTCTAAGATGTGCAGAGTTGCGTCCTTTGGGCAAGCCGGAAATCTATGATTGTGGGTTCGAATCCCGGTTCGCCCCGATTATGTTTCTAGGCTGTCAGCACCATTCCCGTGCTCGTGGGTTTCACCGAAGTTGTAAACGTCTGAGACCTGCATCACCGGGCTTTCCTCCCACATTAAGCTGACACAACGCGATATAACCTGAATACTGATAAAAGCGGCGTTAAATCCAACTCACTCTACCAATATTTCCATTCTGAAAATGAATCCATCCTTTGCATGCATGTTAGAATATTAGAGAACATATACCATCAATCTAATAACCTTGAATGCAGTTTATATTATAGGATGTCCGGGGAAAATCTTTGGATTGCGTCCAAACTGTTGTTGTTAATTAAATAAAATACTTTGGCAGTCGTTCTTACTAATCTTTTCCCCTTCACCCCATGGGCACCACCGCCGTAGTCACAAGACAGGACGAAAGCTAAATGATAACATTAATTTGGAAAAGGTGTTGCCCGTTCTCCAACAACCATTGAGACTACAAATTAAGAACATAGCTATACTCTCTGTTCGTTTCTAAAATCAAACGACTTCAACAATTTTTACTGACGGTCCATAAACAGTACAATCCCACAGTATCGACAAGGGAGTATAGTTCTTGATAATGCCAAACCGGAAACATACACCATTTAATCAGAAAACGACTGTTCCTGAATGTGAAATTTATAAACAGGGGAATTGATGCTTCTGGTATCATCACATAACGAACACCTGATATTAATACTATTTGATAGTGATTTATAAAAACAAAAGCATATCATATAAGCGGAACATAAAGGGAAAGTTACCCATCGAAAAGTTGAAGTTATCCCTCCTGTCAAACAGTCTTGTCAATAGTGTTTTGTCATTCTGAATTTGTATGCATAGATCTAAATATACTTTGAACAATATTTAAGGGAAGCCCCCACTTATTCAGAAATGATATGAAAAGAAATGACTTTGTGGAATTCAACCTTCATAGTAAAGTCAATATCTGGTTCATGCCCCATGAGCATCGATGCAGGCACGACATATGAGCCTATTGGAAATCAAACGCCGGATTGTCTCCCGTGGAGACCTTCGCCATTCTATATACTTATATTAGGCCTGCCCAAGCTGTTTCAAAATCTGGGAACGCTGAGGTCGATTGCGAACCTTTCGTCCGAGAACATCACGAAGGTGTCCGATTGGTGACATGACTGGAAATTTGACTGGCCAGGGCAATGGTGAGGCACCTTGCCATCTCAGACAGTCAACTGCAACACTAGCTCTGTGAGGACGCGAGAAGTGCGTTTTCTCCCTGGAACCCAAAGTTCTGACCTACGCAGTGGGCAAATGGGATGACCAGTGGACGTAAATGTAGTCCACATAATGTTGACAAGTCATATTCCCTTGCATGATCATCAGATCCGTCCTGTCGTCGTACGTGATGCCTCCAAACACGCTGTCTACCATATGTAAAGCACAAACAGAACCTTGACTCATCGGACAACATGATGTGTCTTGCATGCCGCTGTTGACGACCTGCAAACGGCTGTGACCACTAATGTCTGGGAACCCTGTGTGCCACAGTAAGACGCATTCAAGTTTTCAGTTCGTTTCGGTGACGGCAGCCCTGAAGTTGCCCCTCGGTTCTGATGGAGAAATGAATGTGTTCGTCAACGCAAATTCGCGTACATATCGATCCTACCTTTAGTCTTTCTAAGCCTTTTTAACCCCATCCGTTTACCATTCCATCACTCGGGATATCACACTGTGAGATTTACCAAAGTGTCTGTCAACTGCATTCTGTGATTGGCCAGCTTCAGTGTTGCTTATTGCAAGCAATTTTCTTTTTCTTTTGGAGGCATTTTCCTTCGTTGCACCCGATCAGTGAACCATTTGGTAGTGATGCATAGAGGCACATGCAAGTAACCACAAGGTCTCACCGTGGACGCCATGTTTTACGTGTGGCAATGTGTAAAGTTTAGGCGAGTTTGCTATACGCTTTCAGGGAGTGTATCTCGTGCAACAAAGTTGGCTATTTGAAATTACATGAAACAGATGAGGTGTTCGTTTCCCTGATCGTTTTTATTTCTTATTCAGGTGGATAAATAAGTGTAAGACAACTGGTTATTTGTCCATAATTGAACGATATCAGATTATATACCTTCAATTAAGCTTAAGTTCAATTTTTTGGCCACATTCCCTTGTTTTTAGATTTTATCAATTCAAACGAAGGTCCAATAATATTTATCATTGTTAATAATTCTAAGAATACTACATCTATTACATATCTGCCATAAAGCCTGTATGTTGGCTTCAACTAAAAGTTTCAGATTTTCAACAGACGTCCTCTTCACTGTCAATCACACATTTGTACAATTAGTTGCCACCAAGTAGTCTTGTAACTATCCACGCCATGACATCATAATGGCGGCAATATCACTTTTTTCTCTCATCTACTACCAGAGGTAGATGAATTGCGGATTTGGGAGGGAGTAATTCGAATGTAATAGATGTAGTATTCTAAGAATACACGTGATGTAGGAGTAAGCATATTCTCCGAAACGTTGTGTTCCTCATAATAAAAAAGTTGACATCCATAAATTCTCTTCCTTAATGACAACTATTGTTCGATATTTCCTACGAATCTTATACCTCTATTATATATTTGCCAGAATATATTGGAGGGACCGGGTGGGATCTGCCTCTAGTAACTCCCTGTGTAATTGACAGCAATCCTCTTCTGGAAACCATCATACTACTGATTCTTATCCTACTGAGATAATTTCCAATGAAATTCACCTAGAGGACTTGAAAATCAGAATTGTGTCAAGAATCAGTCAAATATGCGATATTTTCAATAGATTTACAGTTATATCAGCTGATCTTTATCGTAATAAACCTGGATTTGTGACTTTTAATACCGTCGATTACGTCATTTCCGGTTCTGACGTTACTTCCGGTTATCACTTCTTTTGGTAATGACGTCTCTTTAGGTCTATTACTACCCCAAAGACGTCACTTCCTGGACCCTGTTCTGCTATTTCGGGTAATGACGTCACTTCCGGCGGTGATAGTTGATGGTTGATAGGTGATAGCTGATATTTTAAGGTGCTTCTAATCCATCCTACACCTTATACACAGAATAATCAAGGGGTGTATACTCTCCCCCTCTACTGCTAGTGGGGATCCTCGCCTCCTCCACCCCACACACACACCCCACAAACATACCCCATCCCCCACCCACCCACCACCACCACCCCACACACACTCCCTTTTTCGTTAGAAGGAGTGAAACTATTTTGGGTGGCTCATTGACAGTTCTGCTGAGATTGTTGCGCATGAAGCGAGACTCGTGGCAAGGGCTCTGATTTCGTGAGCTGATCATGTGTATAACTTGATGCAACTGTAGCTTTCATTCATCCTGCTAACGTAGCCTCGGTGATATCCTTGTTTCAGTTGGTCTTACAGGATAGGAAGAGTCTCCCTCGATGGCATCTATGTGGGTCTGCAGCCGAACTTGAGAGCTGTCTGTCTGGGTGATCCACTGTTAGTCCTAATGCAGGAATTGTATAGTGTCTATGACCCAACGGTCTCATTGTGGTAGATTGATTCTTGGCTACAAAGACTGGGAGCGATCTTAGAGTTATTGAGGTCCAATGTTGATAATGAGTAAGACTAGAATAGTCTCAGGCATGTAATTCCGAAACTCTTGCTGCTGTTGCCATGGCTAGGAGAAACGATGTTTTCCTAGCTTTTTTGAAGAAAGGGAGTTTTAGCCATGGGCTTCGTAAGGTTCTGTTACCCATGCCGATAGTACCACAGATTTTTTACGTAAGTACCAGATATCTCTTGTTGAGGGTCTTAAGGTATATGATCATCCTCATCTCAGTTGTATTCTTCTTCGGTTCCCGAATGGCTTGCCTCTTTAATAGTTTCCTGACGGCCAAATCTGCAGCCGCAAACTTGGCTCAGAACAGGGTGAAATCTTCGGCCCACGGCGTGTGTGTTCAGAATCGGGTGTTTCCTGAAATGAAGTTTCAGTGAGCCACGACGTCTAGAATCCAGTGGCCGGGCGTAACTTGCTTCCAATTTTCGGCGTATGACAGAAGACGCCCTCCAACTGGGCCTAGAGTTGGCATTATGGTGAAAGACGGTAGGCATAAATCGCTGTCCATAGACAGGTCGAAAGGGTCTATAACGTCTGAGGGGATGGTAAGGAAGTCAGCACTTGCGTTTACCTCTGCCTCCCGATCTTCAACGGCGGTTATGCCCCGTTTCTTGTAATCTGGTTGGCGAAAGTAATCCTGAGAAGACTGTCGTTTGTCGTACCTCTGCTTCGGTTGATATGAATCCTTCCCGGGGGGGGACAAACTTCTTCTTAGGAGGCTGTTTGGACGCTGATGATTTATAACCCCTGGGACGCTTCTGTGAATGGAATGAGCTAAGTCTATAGTTTAAGTATGAATAGTCTTGTTTAACTTCGTCTATGACGTGTCCCAATTTTCCGTTGAATGTTGTGATACTGGATAAAGGTTGTGTCATCTTGAACCTCTTGGTTTGGTCTGACACGGCTCTGGATCTGAACTTGGCTAAAGGTGCCTTAGAAGTTGTGTAGAAGTCCAGTCTTGGGATCAGAGTAAGTTCTCCTGCATCCTGGCAATCGAGTCTAGGAGGCTATGGAGGAATCCGACATGATCGGTCCTAATAGTCATGGGTATTTCTGACGCTATTCCTTCATATGATGGTTGTATTAGTGGGATGATGTGTCTGATTCCGGCAACAAACCAATTTATATAAGCTCCGATATCCATAGATAATCTGGAGACCAATGTCAAATCCTTGAGACGCGATGCCGATAACGTAACATAAGTATCACGATTGCATATTGTTAAAGTCTTTATCCATAATTGGGAATTCCGGAAGTGTAGCCACGTGCGTCCTGTATAACTTCCGTTTCATAAGTGGTAAAGGTAGTCGTTCATCATGCTTGAGCTTGTGAATGTTATCCGTCAACTGTCAAAAACCTTGCCAGCGTAACTGGGCCAAGGTAGTGTCTGATGAATATGCTGAGACGATGTAGAGGCATGTGGGGTGGCGAATTTTCTGTCACATGCGGTTGAAGCTTAGGCATAAGATGATAGAGTTCATCAATTAATTTCACGAAGGTATCTCGTAGGGGTGAGCTATCAGCCTGATCTTCAACACCCTCTGACTCAGCCTCCGAGTGGCCTTGACGGGCCTACCGCCATGGATGAAGATCGGAGAGTCTTTGCCAGAGCTATCTTCCTGATCTTTCTTATCTCCATGTCCATTGCAGAGCTTCGTCTTGAGAATGCCCTTCATCATCTCCTGCTGTTCTTTGAACAGTTGGTGGATCAGACTCATGGTGAGTACAGGAGATGGTGGGTCGGCTGGAGAGGGAGGCGCTGGAGTGGAAACTGATTGCTCAATAATCTTGATATTTTCCACTTTCCTCTTTGCCGCCTCGCTCCTCTTGGCCTTAGTCACGGCTTCGGACATCTTAGGAAAGATCTTCTCATATGTGTTGCTGCACTCTTCACATCTCTTGTCCTTGCTGCAGGCCGTGCTTCTGCACTCCGTGCAGTTTTCATGAGGATCTCCCGTGACCATGAATCGGCAACACTTCATTTGGGGGGGGGGGGGGGGGGGGGGGTAGGGACACTAGTCTCGAGAGACAGGTGCCATACGTCGTTGATCCAGGATTGAAGAGGTCATACACTATAGTGAGGTTAATTTACCGAGCAGAAACATCCATCATCTGATCATTAGGAGCGTGGAGAAATATCGATCATCCGGAGGGCAGAGGAAAGTGAGAGCAGAGATATGCCATGTTCCTCTTGCATGCATACTATAGCATGCAGCAGGCTGTGGATAAGGCCGAAGTGGCCTAGACAAATCGACAATGGGGTGTCAGAAGGAGCTTCATCATCAGAGGCATCTGAGGGTGGAATGGCGTGACGAACGCCGGCCAAAAACCAATTTATGTAGGCACCGATGTCCATGGAGTACTTCTTTACGGTAGATAATGTTGATGTAGAATGTTGATCCGAGTCCAAATAATGGTGATGTGCCCGTGTTGCGGTTCCAAATAATCACAAGGTTCCATGAATTTCACGCATGGGTCGTCCTCTGTTGGTGTCCAGGATTCCAGTAAAATGTTACCGGTAGTAGGCTGTAACATATATCCGTGCATCATGGGAGTCCGGTGGGAATGGTGATCCGTTACAAGCCCGTGATGAGAAGAGTCTGTGCGGGGGTCAAGTAGGTAACCTGAAGGACCTATAACAGTTGAAGATCCCGTTAGAGAGCCAATGGTTGTCTAGCTGAACCTGAGACCGCAGACATATAGTCCGTGTGGTCCCGTGCGGGAAGATCAAGTTTCCGTGCGATGAATATCTGGCTGATAATCCGGACTGTGTTGAAACCCGTGGGCTGCGTTCTCGGCGGTACCCATGGGAGGGCTTGAGGGGACCTGTGTTGGAACATCAAGGTTCCGTGCGGTGAATATCTGGCTGATGATCGGGACTGTGTTGAAACCCGTGGACTGCGATCAGGGAGGTACCCATGGGAGGGCTTGTGGGGAATCGTTCGGGGTGGATGATATCTTCAGCTGTCTGGTTCGGTTGCGGTGTCTTGGGGGAAGTAGGGAGTATCGGGATTTCTTGAGTGGATGGCGACGTGTCAATCGACATAATGGCGTCTAATTTCTTCTTGGCCTATACCCCTTGACATTTACATCAAGGCACGATGTATTATATCTGCCACTACTCTTTTCAAATATCCATAATCAGATCAGACCTCCTAATAGAAATACTTATATTTAACACAGTGTAGCTTCCCTTAACATCTAGTTCTGTTTTCTTTGAACAGTGTACTTTAATGAATAACTGCATATGAATCTTCAAATACTAAAGTCTAATTTGTTTTACAGATCGTGACAGCATATTTACTAAATATAACAGACGTTGCTCTAAATGTCAACGACACAAAATGATTGAAAAAAAAAGCTGTTTTAAGTACAACACGGCTTCCGCGGTAAGGATATGATTCAGAAAGTCGAATTAAACGCTTCACTTGAAAGTATTTCAATTGTATCGAGATATGTCAGATAATTGAGACAGGAAAGCCCAAAGCTATGCAGGACTTTAAAACTTCAGTGAAACCCTCGAGCTGACAACCAAGAAACCTAATCAAAGAGAATCTGTTATTCTGTAAATATTGGAAATGAACAATCAATATCTTTTGAAAGCTTACTTCCTTCCAGTATTATTGACCACAAACATGAGTTTGAAATGAAAACAGCAATATCAGCAAAATCATACTCATCTCTGGTTCCGCCAACGTTCGACAGCAAGCAGGGAGCTGTTGATTGACGTCTTTGACAGCACGGCTCGTATCAATAGATTGGAGAGGATGGTGTTGGACTTTATATCCAGTCTCACCGCTTCATCACTTGACGGGACACAGTGTGCGCGGATATCCCGTTTCATCGTAAAATCTATCGAATCCCCAGAGAAGCTCAATATGATCGAGAACGAAATACCATGTGTCAAGTGAGTTGTAAAAATCCACCAATTCGATCCGTGATGGGGATATCATCCTCTGGCTAAAGGCACTACGAAGGTTTCACAATACAAACATCATTTGTCGTGACTGACAACCACATTTAATCTTGTCACATTCAGGTGACAATGGTGACAATGGTAAACATACTGGGTAAACTACTGAGCTTTTATCCGAACAACATGCTCAACATATTCATGCATCAAACAGACACATATGCCATCGGAATAACGCGCCATTGTGGGTACCAATTCCACAGCAGATAAATCCAAAAGAATTGAAATCCTATTACCAATGACAATTTCGTCTTTTGCCAGGCGTTTTTTGAACCAAACATAAGACTTTTAGTATCATATATATAAAACCTTTATGGATACCAACGTTTTTTCTATTGTTAGTACCGAAGTGACTATCTGCCCCCTAATCAGATGAATGCGAGATAAATCTATTGTGATTTGTTATGGTGAATAGGCTTCTTGGCGCTAGTATATATAAAGGGCTCCTATAAAAGGACTTACTCCAATTTTAGATAAACACACACTGAAATGTTTACACGGTGGGTTTAATGTACAAGATAGCGGTGTTTACCAAAGCCTCCAAAATGATTATCAATCTAGTTCATTACATTATGATATTTCCTCAAACTTCTATACAAACTGCGTCAAAGGTCATCCATCACTTTTACCAGTCATTCAGGAGAGAATCTACATTTTGCAATAATTCCACATTTAAACATTTTAACATGAATGTCATAACAGTGTTCTACAAAAAAACTGCTTGTACCAAGTGACTTGTTGAATTATTGTGTATGGCTTTCCTATCCGGTTCGTCGCAATGTTTGGAACTCTACCGCGTTATATCGATCTTTTTAACAATTACAACCAGGAAGCTATCAGTTGATACCATGAAATGGTTTGCAACACATTAGCATTTATCATTAATTTATGTTTTTAAAACCATGCACACACTAATATCGCCGTGAAAATGTCAGCTGTTAGAAAATACAGGGAATATTGTTTTCAAAAAGCAAATGTCATCAGACTAATATCTGGATAGAATATTTATATTAAATCTCGCGAATTGTCACTACATGGCGTTTTGTACATGTAGATGTCGCAAAGGCGATCCGAATCAGGATTAACATCACACAGTAAACTACGGTTATAACGAACTAGAGGGGACCACTATGTTTAAATCGTTATAACTGTAGTTTGTTACAAGCATACGTACAGCAAATGGGCGTACCAAAAAACAGTTCGTTATATCCGTCAGTTCTTTATAAGCGTGTTCGTTATAAACGTAGTAGATAGCACATGACAACATAATACAAGCCCCGAAAGCTGCTGTTTTAAAAAGCAACATCAGAATATTAAAACTGATAACAATTGCTAGAACACATACTGAAATGTCAGTTATTGATTTCAAAATTATGATGAGACTGTATGACAAGAGGGATGACTTCAACTTTCGTAAAGACAACTTTCCCTTTCCTATCTATTTATTGGCTCATGATGTCAGGTTTTTCGTTTAGTGTAGTGCATTGATAACACTAACCATTATATGATAAAGACGTTTGCTTTTTTAGGAAATAGGAATCCAGAGGATGTTACACCAGGAACCAAGGAGAGAATTACACGGAGTGTTTCTGTAGTCACCTGACTAACTTTGCGTTACTGATGCGTGCGGTGAGTTTAATCTGATATTCAATTCTGGAAATGCTATCTATAATCTAAATGTCGGTTTTGATGTCTTCGAACATTTATCATTATGTTCATAAACTCTGTTCCACAAAAATTCTGTATTCAATAGCCACCAAGCTCAGAACCATATAAAGAACATAAATACAAATTTACATTTTTCCTGCATTTTAATTTGAAAAGAATTTTCAGAAACCTTAATGCTTTTGTTAAAAAGTTTCTGATACCTTATTCGAGTACAACATCAGGAAGCAAATTTTAGAAACCTCGTATTAATATGGTATTTGCATGAACTGCCCAATGTATGATACAGTGCCAAATAATATGGAGACATGTTAATTTACGCAATCACCCACCCATCGGAAAACCCCTATCAAAATGTATAGCCTGTTGTGTATTGAGAACGCAGACATTGAATCGATTCCTGCGTATATATAGGCTCACGATGTCAGGTTTTTCGTTTAGTGTAGTGCAGCGATATCACCAACCCTTAACCTCACTAACTTTGCTTTACTCGTGCGTATGGTGAGTTTTATCGAAGATCTGGTATCGTTACAAAACGGTCAAATAGCAAATTACCCTTCCATTGATTTACCCTTCTGAACTAGAAATAGAGGAGACCAGTAAAACTGGGCTGTCTTTTTCATATTTAGACATATGTATAAAGATTTAGATTGACAAAAGACTCTCAACAAGGCAAGAGGGGTGATGCAAACCTTCCATTAGTCACCTTTCTCATTATGTCGAGTAATATTCCAGACGCTCCAGCCTTTGGTGTTTACATTTCACAACTTTTCAGGTACAATCAAGGATGCTCTTTCTACCACGATTTCAAGGAACGTCATACAACTCTTCCTCAGAAGTTGTTTGATCATGGTAACAACATTCATGGCCTCAGTAAAGCTTTCAACAAGACATCGGTGATGCAATTCCCTATTTTGATTTTTCAGGGGAACAATTGACTTGCCTTTGCACGTGTTTGTGTCGGGTGCATCCGGTGGAGCAGCCTTTAGGCTTTTATTTGAGTAGCTGGCGACGTGTCACTCGACATAATGGCGTCCACTTTCTTCTTCGTCACTTCCTTTCTCCTCGCCTTAGTGATGCTGTCAGGTAACTTGAGCCTGAGCACCCGATCCCGTTGTCGCCTCTTACGACAAGCACAGTCTCCTTTTACGGCAAGTATGGGTTGCTAAAGACCTATTCTACCCCGGATCTTCGCGGGTCGGTCAGACAAGTAAACAAGGAAGGGATGTGATGAGTTTCGGTCTACCTATTCACAACATGGAACATGGAACATGGAACTCCGAATAGTAACTTGGTTTGAGTTGGGCATGAAATTGATTTAATGAATAGATTCAGTAAAGGAACCTCATAAGTGTATATACATATAAATCATAAAGATCGAGGAGACTGTGAAGACCAAGATCTCCTAAATGATGTTTGATGCCCTTCCTCCGCCCCGAAAGCGCATCTATCGGAAATTGACAGTTGTCTCGGTAGACCCGGGGATGAGCTGGCCAATGGACTTAAGACCCCACTACAATATTTAGATGTAACAGTTGTAAAACGTTTCATAAGATGTTAGATAACAGAACTGTGAATGTGCTGTGTGCAAAGATGTTTGACTTTAAGTCTTCTGGATATTCATCAGCATTGCATGAAGTACCTGATGTTGAACTCTGGATATGTCATGAATATCTGTATATATTTTCATTATAATCACATGAAAGTTATATACGTTAAGGTAACCATTATAAAGATGCCATTGGTTACCTTCTGCAGTAACAGTGTTTATTACTGTACATCTTAAAGAAAACATTATAGGGCTCTGTGTTATACATAATATGTATACTGAAACGCAAAGTTTCTCAAATTCAACACTACCTTGTAAGGAAAAATGAAATTTGAAGATAAAAATCAAGGCAGTTTCCAATAAAACCAATCACCCAAATGCATCACGGCAACGGGCGATGCACGTGAGTTCCGTGCAAATTGAAATGCACATGCGTTCCCCTATTTCTTGCCCTATAATAATCCACCCAGGTCGGATAACATTCATTCGTTATTGAATTGCTACCACATGTAAAGATTGACAAGAAATCAGCGACACCAAGCCCTTGGACGATTGCAAGCTGGACAAACCGCCCCGTAAGTAGCCAATGCATTTCAAGTCCACGTAAGGACCATATACAGACTCCAGGAACGGTACCAGACCACCAACACTACCGATGACCGACCACGTAGTGGAAAACCAAGGGTCACCACCCGACGTCAGGATCGTCAGATTGTGCGACAGCATCTTCAAGATCGCTTTGTCACTGCTGCGGAAGCTGCTCGACAGCCCATGGGGATACACCAGCGACACATTAGTACGGACGCCGTACATCGACGATTGACGAGCAGAAACCTCCACTGTCCCAGGCCACACCGAGAACCCATTCAGACACATCATCGCCGGGACACAGCACCAGCATTGGCGCCACCAGCAGTGGAGAAGAGTCCTCTTCTCAGACGACAGCCGTTACTGTAGCTCAACAGCAGATGGCAGAAAGAGAGTCTGGCGACGCCGTGGGGAACATTATTCGGATGCTTGTGTTGTTGAGAGAGACTCGTGGGGTGGTCCGAGCATCATGGTGTAGGGTGGAATTGGTCATGCACAGAGTGTCGGCCCTGTGGTCTTCCAGAACATCCGTCCAGGGAGAGGCATTGGTGTCACAGCAGCTCGGTACATTGATCAAGTCTTGAGACCACACGCCATACCTCATTTGGCACGTCGCCGCAACCACGAGTTTCAGCATGATAACGCCCGTGCCCACATGACGAGAGCAACAAGAGACTTCCTCCAGCAGAATGGGATCAGAACCATGCAGTGACCTTCCTCAGTCCCTATTTAAATCCCATTGAGCACCTGTGGGACGAGATTCAAAGAGGGATGAATAACGTCCGACCAAGGCCGACAACTGCAGCTGAACTGCGTCAGGCGTTCCTCAGAGTGTGGACTCAAGTGCCTATGGCCTTCATCAACCGCCTCATCCATTCCATGTATCGACATTGCACGGCAGTCATCAATGCACATGGCGGACACACGAGATACTGCCATTTTCTCAGAGACTAGCGTTGTGTTTTTTAAGAACATTTGACACTTTAACTTCAACATTGATGATAAGTTTTGCCAAGTTTCATCTTTTTAATATATCTCAAAGTATGTTTACAGTGTTTGGACAAATAGGGTTTCTCATATATCTATCCATGGTGATATTTCTTTTGCGGTTCAGTATATATATGAACATACTTGTATAATGGGCCGGTAGTCCCTTGACGGAGTATACTACTATAAATAGTGATTAAGTATGGTTTTACGCCGCTTTTAGCAATATTCCAGCAATATCACGGCGGGGGACACCAGAAATGGGCTTCACACATTGTACCCATGTCGGGAATCAAACCCAGGTTTTCGGCGTGACGAGCGAACGCTTTAACAACTAGGCTACCCGACCGCCCCTACTACTATAAATAGATGGTGCAGATAAAGTATATGTGTCTAGTTAACTGCCTTGTTTGGGTAAGTTTATCGTATTTGAAAGGTATATAGTAATCCTTTCAACCATGACCTATGTCATTATTTATGAGCTGTCTGGCAGATGGGGAGCTCAACTAGCAACTCTACAGATGTGACGCCCATTGAGGGAGATGGTTCTACTAAATAACGTCATGGAGCATGTGGGAACATCCGGGAGAAATACACTGAAAAATAACGTTGTATCCATAATTGTGTTCCTATTTATTACAATAAAGTACCATTGATGTATATGACATGATAACATTTAAAACACTGAAACACTTAGTGTTTCTTAAATAATCACTTGAAAAGTTGGATACATTTGATTGTAGTAAGTCAGATATGATGAACATTGATTATTAATTGTTTTCTTATATATCGTAATAACAACGAAACAAACTGAGAAAGACATGTTTTATTGACTAACTGCACTGCATGATCTAAATGCCAGATGTCTGGTTAAACCTCCCGGATGTTCCCAGATGCTAAATAATAGAATGAGAGTGAGTGAATTAGTTTGGCTGAGTCTGTTTTAACAGTATTCCAGTTGAACCAGGGTGTGTCAGCTTGAGGTGGGAGGAAAGCCTAAAATGATGCAGATCATAGACGTTTAGCACTTTGGTGAAACCCATGAACAATGGTATGGAGCTGACAAACCTACAAACATTATCAGACTGAATCTGGGATTAGAACCAAATACCATAGCTCTCTGGCACGCCTAGTGGATGTATCTGCAAACAGGTTGTGGTACCTTACCCAACTGGGCGACTTGTGGTCCCACCAAAATGGAAAAGAAGCTACAGCAGGAGGTTGCCAGGCTTGTTGGTGTGTCATGGGTGAAGGTAATCTCCTGAGATGCCAAGCTTTGCCACAAGCGTTCGACAGCAAGTGGCACAGTGCTTATACTTGCAAGATGCAAATCTGATGATGAAACCCATTGACGCAAATGAGCGGATGACATATTATCATCCCAGATTGCTGCATCCATGCTTTTTGACTTGTTTTTTACTCAACAAGGTTGGTATACGGAAGAGAATTTATGGATGTCAACTTCTTTGTTATGAAGAAGTGAGTGAGTGAGTGAGTGAGTTGGGTTTAACACCGCTTGTCACATTATTCCAGTTATATCGTGGCGTGTCAGCTTAATGTGGGAGGAAAGCCCAAAGTGATGCAGGTCCCAGACGTTTACCACTTCGGTGAAACCCACGAGCATGGGTATGGTGCTGACAAACCTAGAAACATAATTGGGGCGAACCGGGATTCGAACCCACAATCATAGGTTTCTGGCGTGCCCAAGGGACGCAACTCTGCACAGCGTTTGTTATGAAGAACACAATGTTTCAAAGCATATGCTTACTCCTTCATTGGGTGAATGAATATATGATATGCCTTTCAAAGACAAGATTGGTAAACATCAGCTATCATAAGGCAAGTTAGTTATATGAAATCAATTGAACATTTACACATGTAAATTCATGCTTCTGTGACTTTGCTGTGCATGGGTCTGTTGTAAAAGCAGAATAAGTAAAGAAACAACAATTACAACATATTCAATCACTTTATCCAGAAGCTTGCAACTTTGACAAAGGACATGATTAATATCCAAATTGATTGGAATTGGAACTGGCCATAAAATAGTTTTATGTAATTGAGATTCATTTTAATAATCACAAAAACGTACATGTATTTTTCAAAAAATACAAATTATCTGTTGATTAATTAAATAAAGTCATAACGTCACAATTAACCGGTCAATAATAAAACAATATGAATAAGTCACTTCATGATGAACATAAACATATAGATATACTCAAATGACTCATTTGTAAACTCCAGTTTTAAAATAGAAACATTTTTGTTGTCACAATAATAAATTAGCCAACATTTAAAACTAATTACTTGTCGTGGCATATGATTTGTTACTGGAACAGAACATTATGCTGTATAATGATGTACTGACATACTTCACTGACACACATCTTTTGTTACGTTAAAGTGACATTGCAATTCGCAATATATATACAATATAGTTATAATAACAAAACAACTCAATTTGAAAAGCACCAACTTATTGATCACATGCAAAACAATTGTAGACACAAACAAGGCATCTTAGCAATATAACATTAAAATAAAGCCCTTTGTCTAAACATTCACAGGGTACTACAGATTAACCATAATAGTACTATTGTTTAGCTACAATTCAGTTGACTGGAACCAAGAACTGCTGTTTTACTGAGCTACTATCAGTATTCCTATTGGGGACCGTACATTTCAAATGTTCCAGAAATGTCAACATGTTTACGCTCAAACTGTCACTGAAAACCTTCAAAAACAGAGAACAAGATACCATATTTGGGTTAACACTGAATTAGACATCAATGTGAAGTATGTCCATCCGTACTGGACACATACACAATCTTTAAAATAGAACACAAGTCAAAGTTAGGAACCTGTTTAACCATTAAAACATTCAACAAATTAGCATGCATATGCTACATAATTCAGAAATACAGTGAAACCACACTATAACCATCCTGCTGAACAATTAGTTTGGAACATCCAAAGAGGGACATTACTACATATTAATGATTCATTTATCTAAAACAATTGTTCATTCCAATGAATTTGCTTGAAAGATCACCGTCCAGACCAACAGGGTTGAACTGTTTGAGGAAGACAATCTGTTTGTGTTGTTGCATCCAGATAAATCAATGGCTCATATACTTTCTCATCATCATCATCATCATCATCCCAATAGTACCTCCCTGTGAAGGCAAAGGACTAGGCATCGAGAGCTAAGTTTGCACCATTTGTATGAAAGTTGCCTAATAAATGACAATAGTAAGGCCACATATATTTCTTTCTTGGTTAACATATGTTCTATTTATTGAGTCTTAGAAATGAAAAAAATAAATATACTTCATCTTCCCAATTTTTTAATATTACTTTGGAACCTTATTTCTTGAGAGAAACGAAACAAATCAACTGAAAAAATGTCTATGTCAAACAAGAGAAAGTCCTTACATCTGTGTATATTTAGAGATAAAACTTTCTGACAACAATAAGATTGTTACATGCACATTGCATCAGAAAGAATAGCAATTGTAAAACCCTCTTCTGGTTATTCTGAAAGACAGCAAAGCGGTCTCCAGCAAGGAGTTTTGTTAAATATGATAGGTCTAGACCAGCATACTTGTTCTTTTTCAATGTGAAAAAATGCAATTCATAATTTTTCACAATATGTTTTGAAGCAGTCAAAAGAAGGTATATACTTGAAAAATGGATTAGACCCAAATAATACAAACATTATCAAACCATTACTAGGCTGAAAACAGTAGTTGAAAACACTGCAACTTATGATCTAAAACCCAACTATGATATCAATATCAAATACATTACCATTGAATAACACTTTCTTCTTTGCTTTATTTTCAGCCACCATCAAACATGGGTTTTTATTGTTGCCTGGCAGTTTATGATATTTTATGTTTCACCTCCTTACACCAATTTAAAAACTCTATTTTCAATGACATCTTTAAGTGGCATTTGAATGGTTTTAAACTGATTGCAGGCAAAGTCTACCAAACACTCACTTTCACACCTCGATGCTTTTGTAAAAATGAGCACTTTAACTTCCATGCAGCCAAGTTCCATGCAGACCCGTGAAGATCCGTGGAAGAATAGGTCTTCACTAACCCATGTTTGCTGTAAAAGGCGACTATGCTTGTCATAAGAGGTGACTAACAGCATCAGGTGGTCAGACTCGCTGACTTGGCTGATGCAAGTCATCAATCCCAATTGCGTGGATCGATGCTCATTATATCAATCACTGGATTGTCTTGTCCAGCCTTGATTATTTACAGACCACCATCATCTTGCTGGAATATTGTTGAGTGTGGCGTAAAACAACAAACCAACCAACCAAAGTTCCATGCTTTATTCATAATTGATATAGATCAACTACTGGATGCATGTGTCTGCATAACAAGGATATGTATCCTTTCAGTATGATTGATGCTTACATACACTGACATTCAAATATGGCCGTTACAAAGACACCTTCTGGAGGATTTGAGAACTCTCACGTGGTAGAAAAAGGTGCTTGCCTTGTCAAAAATATTTGTCCTGATATCACACTCTGTGTGTTATTGACTGTTAAACACTGATTTCAGTGTCCGTCAAACATTACAGGCAACCAGTTCTTATCAATGTCTACATGGTCTTTGGTTGTCTGTCAAACATCAATGTCAATGTCTGGTCAATGCTAACACCTTCACTAGTTGTCTGTCAAATATCAATTTCTGGTCAATGCCAATTAACACCTTCACTAGTTGTCTGTCACACGTCAATGTCTGTCCAATGCCAACACCTTCACTAGTTGTCTGTCAAACATCAATGTCAATGTCTGGCCAATGCCAACATCTTCACAAGTTGTCTGTCAATATCAATGTCTGGTCAATGCCAACACCATCACTTGTTGTCTGTCAAACATCAATGTCTGTCCAATGCCAACACCTTCACTAGTTGTCTGTCAAACATCAGTGTCAATGTCTGGCCAATGCCAACATCTTAACTAGTTGTCTGTCCACATCAATATCTGGTCAATGCCAACACCTTCACTAGTTGTCTGTCAAACACCAATGTCAGTCTGTATATCTGTCCCAACAACCTAAAACCACTTCTTGTCAAAGTCAACATCTTCGATGGATGTCTGTCAAACGTCATTGGCAATGAATGATGCGTCGAAAGTAATCGCAATCATTTCTGGTCAATGTCAACATCTTCGATAATTGTCTGTCAAACAACGATGTCAATGGATGATCTGTTGAAACTACTTGCAATCACTTCTGGTCAATGTCATCATCTTCGATAGTTATCTGTCAAATATCAATGTCTATCAATCTATGGATATCATGAACACATATATTGTCAGTGTCAGCTAAAGGATTAGATGACTGCTATACATTGACATCAAAGTATGACTGTCAAACACAGGCCTTTTTATGCAAGTGTCAGCTCAGCTACAATATTGATCATTCATTTGCCAAACCACTTATGTTAATGTCTGTAGATCCTCAAATGACACACAGTCCCTGTAATCCTGTCCACCAAACTGAAATGTGGGTATTGGCCACCTGTCAAACACTGATATTAATGTCCATACATCTGTTAATCAGTTAATTACTGTCAAACACATGTCATTGTTTAAGTGTCTGCACAATTGTCAACCACAGCTGTCAATGTCTCATTGTCTATGTTTGATAGCATGTCTGTGATACAGTCAGTTGTTTGATGTCAAATACAGGCACATACTCAAGACACTGGCATGTCTGTCAAGGTATCGATTAGTTGACTGAGGAATGCCACCTGCATTAACAATATCATGTATCTACACTTATGACAATGACACTTTGATTTCAGTGACATCCCAAATCATCTACAGATGTATAGGGGTTACATGAGTATGAGTTACTGTCAAACGCTGGTTTCAATGGTGTCTTGCCTTTCAGCCTTCTTTGCTTTCAAAGCAGCTCCTACGGAAGCAATGGTGAGGCCCCCACCTGTAACAGAATGAGAACAATATATTTAACATACATAAACTAACTCATAACAATTCATTATTAACAATTATAAGTAAATGTCCATGTAGCATCTTGAAGCAAATGTTAGTCTCACCAAGCATTGCATATATTCACACAAGGTGGAGATTCTGGGTTACAGTGGGTGGGAGTACTTCTGATGTATTAGAGGTAGTCTTAGAATCTTAGAATTATTAACAATGATAACTATTGTTTTGATAATTCTGACAAATCCTCTACCTCTGTTACATCATTGCCAGAATACACCAGATACACGGCAGGTTCTGCTTCTAGTACACTCCCTGTACAGTTGACAGCAATCCCATAAACCTATTGTAAATCCATCTTGTATTACCATTTCAAAACCCCCTTGGAGATACTTACCTTAGAATCACCTAGAGGCCATGGAATCGAGTAGTGTGAAGGAATCAGTCAAATATGTGATACCTTCACTTGAGTTACCATCACATTTGCTGATATATGATGATGTCTTTAGTTCTATTCTAACCCACCATCTGCTCAGACTTTATGACTCTGATGTCACTTCCTGTCTATAATACTTTAAGTTATGAATTCACTTCCGGTCTAACTGATGTCAGTTCCTTCCTTTTAGAACCTTCGGACATCATTACTTGCACTTCTGACGTCAGTTCCGGTCTTATTTATCTTCTGATTGTGATGTCACCTCCAGTAGATCTGTTATCAACCTCCAACTTATGTTTGATACAGATATACCTTGGCTCTTTTACACTAGCAGTAGCTAGTGATCAACAGAAAAGGTGTACTCACCCTCTGTTGCTACTGATCCTCTCCCCCACCACTTTTTTCCATAGAAGGAAAACAAAGGTCAATACCCGGTAGATAGACTGGGCCGCTACAACAGGGCCCAGGGAGTATATGACCTGCCGATCTGGCTGGATATCCCACATGTAAAATCTAGTGAAAATATTGTTTGATCCAGCAGTCCAGTTTGGCATCCAGCTACAACATGCTTGACAAAAACAGAAGTCAAGGATGCCAGGCTTGTCGCCAAAGCTCGAATTCCGTGGGCAGAGCATGAACCCATAATAGGAGAAGGTTCCTGTGCTTGACGACAGCTTGCCAGAATGGTCATCTTGAGCCAGCCGACAACTGTAGCCTTTGTAACATCCTTGTTGGAATGATTCTTTGCAGTGAATTCTGGTAGAGAGCGTAAGATAATGGAAGTCCAGTTGGGAGTAAAAAGTAATACTCATATAGTCAAGAGCGTGGACTTCAGAAACTCCAGCTGCTGTAGCCATGACCAATAGGAAGACAGCTTTGCGAGAGTCTTGGAGCAACGTAGCATGAGGGAGATGTTCATATGGGTCGGAGGCCCCCGATGTAAACAATGTTCTGTACTGGCTGGATTTCTGATTTGGACGGATTGATGATGAAACGAAGGTAAGGGTTTGGGTTAGGAAGATCACGTTCTGTCGTAGTTGGGAATCTTCCTGATCAGCTGCTAAGAAGTCATCCAAGTACCCATGCAGATGCACCATCGTGATCAAAACCGAAATCCATGATGGCAGGAACCGGAACTCTTAGCATCTACCGGTAGGAAAGGACAGGCTTACCCTTTTCACAAACACCTGGTGTCATCGAAGATCCTTGGTGATCCATTCATATAATTTTAGTGATCCATTCATATCATTTTCATCGCTATTTTGCCTTTGCTCAATGGAATCTGTTTCAGTGGATAATCAAGACTGGTTATTCTGTGGCGTTGAGGTTTCATATTTTACAATTTGAAAAAAGGCATTGCACCATTCACTCATGACAGATATAATTCTTGGTGGTTTGTTAGTTACTCTCTTACCTCACTGGATTCCCATACTCTCCATAATGGCCTCTATATACTTACTTGGGTACTATGTATGAAGGCAATGACTGGTGTCCCCTGAGGGGATATTGCTGGAATTGTGAAAAACTCACTAACTCCCTCAGTGTACTTACTCATATGAATGTTGTTGAGCTTGGTGAGGCTAAGGCAGGAGTCTTGTGTGACCAGGCTGTTCCTCAAGTTGACCATGGAGGACTGCCTACTGGCCAATGTCCTCATGTAGTCAGGGTTGGAGAGCAGGAGCTCCTGGATCTGGTACAGCTTGTGGCTGATGTCCTTGCCCAAGATGTAGTGGAATGCTGTGGCTAGGTAGGTGTCCTTGTCAAGGTACTCCTGCAGGGTGGGGTAGTGCCAGGTTAGGATGCGACTCTCTTCTGATGCTGATATTGTTACCTGAAAGTGAAGTTGATTTTGTTTAATGCGCTCAAATCAGCAGCATTAAAGCTACCAGGTAAGGTATATTTTTCACCAAACATTAATTGAAAAATATGGGTCATGAGTTTCATTGGAATTTGTAAAAATATTTTTCAGTTTATGTTTGATATTATATATACAAAACAGAGTGTGAAAATATTCTGATTTATGGGTACTCCCTGAAGACTGTGGTCCCTGAAAAATACTATCAAAGATTCTTGTTTCAGCGAATTGCCTGATTTTTTAATTTCTTGGATTTCGTCCTCAAATACTCAACCAAAAGCCCATAATAGACATTACATGTTGACAGCATGTAAATAATTGAGCCTGTACAAAGCAAACCAATGACTGAAAGTATATATGAGCAATGATCAAATGAAATGCAATCAGCCAAGTCACCAAACCTCACCTCATTGACCCCTACAGCGAGTATAGAATACTGAGTACCAATTCTACCCTGGAATACCCAGGTGAGTGTTACCCAAAGGATTATGTTTAGCAGTGTGATAATCTTTAAGAGATCATTCTGACTAAGTGAGTTAGTGGATGAAGCTTTAGTTCCCACACAATAATACAGCATCAATAAATTCCCATCCAACCTGGTGCAGAGATAAACTATGAACATTCAGCCACGCCAATGTTGTGTGATGAGACATAAAATCTGTCAAGCACCTGTTGACTTTCCCTGTGGCCTGGTCAACCAATGAAGTATTAACCATACACTGTTGGGTTTAATCTAATCTCCTTTCGGTGTAATATTAAGCAAATACTAGGTACCTACTGAAATCTTGGCAGATACTGATCGAAGATGCAACAAGTCCTTGGTATATGCTGTTTAGATGTGAGTGGAAGCTGTGAATAGATACACTGCATATGGACTTATTGAGTAATGGATTTTTCCGAGTGTGAAGGAATATTATACCACTTCTACCAGGATTTCAGGTTTATAGAATGGTTTCAGCTTAATGGGGCAGGAAAGCCCAAATAGTGATGCAGTTAGTAGATATTTACAACTTTGAAGAAACCCATTGTGTGTGTGTGTGTGTGTGAGAGAGAGAGAGTCTCAGAGAGAGAGAGAGAGAGAGAGAGAGAGAGAGGGAGAGTCTCAGAGAGAGAGAGAGAGGGAGGGAAGGGGGGAGGGAGGGAGGATATATGAAGCTTCATGCTTGATGTAAGCTTGCAGTCACCAACAATCGCCCTTTTACTCACCTGGTATTTTTCATCTGTCTCTACATATGGGACAGCCGAATCACATTCTGGTGAATCTACAAACTCATTCATCTCAATGTGGTGCAGGTAGAATCTCCCATAGGTGACTTTCAACCTGAAACAATGTGTTACAAACAGGGAAAAATAATACCCACTGACAAGTGGAGCAGTTTGTTTTGACAAGAGGTAGCAACACAAAATCTCACAAGCCAATTGTCCTAAAGACAAATCTATTAAGGATCATGTTTCCCTATGCTGTTCAAAATGTCTGTGGAATGTCAGATGTATTGAGTAGGATACCATCGTTGTGGGTCTACCAAAATGCTGACCAGGTTGTTGACTTCAAGTAATAGCATGCTCTGTGCTAAATATGCTGAAGATATGTTTTCTTCGTTTGTTGATTAACACCACACTCAGCAATATTCCAGCTATATGATTGTGATCTGTAAATAAAGGAGTCTGGACCAGGCAATCCAATGATTGACATTATGAACATCGCTTTACGCAATTGGGATACTATAACATGCATTACCAATCCTGTTAGTCGCCTCTTACGACAATCATGGATTGCTGAAGACCTATTCTAACCTTCATGGGGGTCTGCTGCAGAACCAGCAAATGGAGATGCCACCTGGCTAACAGCTACTATCTTATAAGAAATATGGCCATTATTATCATCAATGTTCGAACCAACACACAGAGCATGAACAAGAGAATTGTAATACTCAACAGGGTGACGCTTGACTTACTTTCCTTTGACTAATATGGAGACTTTATCCCCGATGTGAGAAATTCCCTCCACTGCGTATATGCTACCTTTTGGTACCGTCATCATTGTACCTAATTTACATATCAGAGCAAACTCTTGCCTCGACATTTTCAGAGGCCGGAACAGTTTTGAATAAATGTCTTCCATCTGATCATGCATTTTCACAGGAAAGTTCACGTATGTCAAATATCCGATATGTCCGAGGTTGACTGCCACAAAGATGGCATTCCATACAAGGATATCTATCATGCACACAAACAGCCCTGCCCAGAGGAGGAAGAACACGAAGCCCACAAGGAGAAGACATCGGAGGAAGAACACATGATACTGGAAGCTGCTTGGAGTCAGAAATGAGATGGCCATGCACAAATTGGCCAACTGGAACACTGTGTGTTGGGCATCCTCCCATGTGTAGCACTTCCCGAATGGACTTGGGTGGTCCTTGACAACGATCCGGCTTGTTGCATCAGTCAAGTTCAGAAGGGCCAGGGTTGTTTGATTGATGAATGTCAATGTTGTGTCATTAATTGACATGGGAGTTGATATCTCTGTGGTGGAGTTGGACATTGTTGTGGTTACAGTGTTTTGTATATCTCCACCTCATTCGGACAAATCTGAAACAAACAAAACAAGTTATCTGAAAGCATGTTTCTCTTGTTCTCAATTGTTCCAGCTGAAACAGACAATTCAAATAATCTACTTGACCAAAGACATACAGTCTATATGAATGAGAAATAACTTAGAGACACATGCGAGACAAAATACATTTTGCTTAAACATCTTTTTATCCACTAATAAATACTCCATGACACCTAACATCATCAAAGAATCCTGAAGAACAACATTAAAAGATTCTTCACACCTTCAAAGCCAGATTCATAATCCATGGTTTTCAGATATTTCTGTAGGTTGCCTTCAAAAAGATGCCATATTAAAAAGAGTGATCTTCCGATTTGATTTTTTCTCTCACTTTTTAGGGTCAGCAGAATCTTAAATCAACTACAAAATGTCTGGCCAAAGAAGGACTAGCATCAAACAATAGGCAGTCCTTGTAAGTCTGATTCATGTCACTCAATCACAATATTTTTTGTGCTATCTCAGACCATTGTCACAAAAGTCCATAAAACATTAATAGGTTCCACATGCTTCTTACTCCACTTAGACCTCATGGTGTGGTCATTTCTAAGACACTAAGAATTCGCTTTAATTCATGTCTTATGTTTTTCACGAAACCTATGGTAACCTAAAAGTAAAATCAGTGTTTCCTGAGCATTGGCAAGTTATATTAAATCCTGTGTCAGTTATTCACATTGCCAACAGAAAAGTTGTTTTTTTTAAATTTCCCGCATCATATGAAGCAGACTCTATCCATGCTTGACAACTGACATTGTCATCAAGAACAGTTCAATGTGAGCGCAGTTGTGATTGTTGGCATTCTTGGTGGGGAAAAATAAAAAATGTTCCTCACTCTTAGCTTTTCAATAAATATATCAGTGTTTGCATTGGTCTCCAAAATAATAGAGACCCCTTGGACGCGAAGCTATTCTAAGGGTGCTTGGGTGCATGCATTCTGAGCACAAATAAAGTGTCTGGTTGAAATTCTTAAGTGTTTGCTTTTACTAGAAACAAACAAGAAGTTATACATTAAGTGAACTTGTTAGGGGACCTTTGTAGGTTTATTTTTTTGTGTCCCACTTTTTTTTTCAGTGCATATTTTTGTATATGGGACGCCGTAAATACAAACACTGTATATTAAAGTTCCTACCTCACTACATTTTGAGAAAAATGTGTACAAGAAACATTTATTTTTTTATGCAGCCTTATTGTTGATAAGTAAGGCAAGATCTGAGACCATAAAGATTGTCATCTGTCATAATTATTTTTGGTCATTGTTCACATGAGTGAATGAGTGAGTGAGTGAGTGAGAGTGAGTGAGTGTGGTTTTACGCCACTTTTAGCAATATTTCAGCAATATCACGACAGGGGACACCAGAAATTGGCTTCACACATTGTACCCATGTCAGGAATCAAACCCGGGTCTTCGGCGTGACAAGCGAATGCTTTAACCACTAGGCTACCCAACCGCCCCTTTGTTCACATGACCTAACAAGCCACAGTGTAGACATGATCTGAACATGAAGATGAGCCATGGCAGATAACCCTAATTCTTCATCAGTTCCTTTGTGATTATCACCACACATCTTCTACCTTGGCTGATAACCTGGATTCACGCGAACATGAGTGAACAAGATGTTATCAGCAACTGGTTATGTTGGCCAACTGAACAACTTTCACCTTTGCTGAACCATATTGGGTCACGTATAGACACAGACACACTCACAGACAAACACACAGTCAGACAGACATACACACTGACACTTACACCACACACACCGAATACATACACACATACACATACATATACACACAGAGATTAATTTAAAAAGTTTTCCTGAAACACATGAAATGTTAGCTTGACATTATGAGGTCCCAGGAAAACTTGCATTGTGAAAAGATAAATTAAATTGTTCAGCTCATCCACACAGAGAAAAAAAACCAAAATTTAAGACAGAAAAAATATCCTGTATCCCAACTCTCCCCCATGCATCAATATTAAATGGTGGGTGCCATGCATGGTTGTATGACTTGACATGCAAGCATGTTAGGGGTGGGGGATGGGGGAATGAGTTCCTGTTTGCAGATATGAAGAGGGTGATGTAGAGAAGTAGTGGGTGTATGACTGAGTGTGTGGATCTATGCAATGACCTACTCTCACAGGATCAGATGAGTAATTAAGAGAAAAACTAAATGTGAGCATTGTATTTTGTACCAGAGACAAAGGACCTATGTTGAATCCTGATAGACCATTTGATGACAGGCTCAGATTGACTTTATTCACGGGTGCCACTGTTGGGGCAGGATACTCTCATTTTTTTGCGAATGCCTGGTTTCATCATTATTTGATAGTAATTCATACACACATTCATGATACATTTGGAATCGTCCAATCTACTCTGCTTATAGTAGGGATTTCCTGTGGCTATGGAAACAGTTTTGTCACTTTTATTTACTATGAACTGTTGTAGGTTACAGGCAATGGAGGTGTTGGTGTTTGGAGCATTATGCTTAGCAGGTAGAGGGTGACTGTGAATGTAGTAAACTTGCTAGGCCCAATCAGCAATTGCTTTGTACTCCTTGAACATCATCCTTCATATTCACGAGATTTTTCCACCTCTTCCCAAACTGGAAAAACTGTCTGCAAAACATTACGCACATGATGATAATGTCACATCTGCTACGGAGAATGTTTAACACCACCAGGAGGAAGCCTTCTACACCAGTGGAAGGCAATCAAGTATCGATGACAAAAACGTGTGGACCGCAGAGGGGATTATGTTGAAAACTAATAAGCAAACAGCTCCATTAACACAGTCCACAGTCATAATTAGGCTCATAACTTTCCAGTTACCCCTCGCACCTGGAATCCTGACACAAGTTGGTTGGTTCGTTGTTTAACGCCGCACACAGCAATATTCCAGCTATATGATGGCGGTCTGTAAAATAATCGAGTCTGGACCAGACAATCCAGTTATTGATATCTGAAATCATGAGCATCGATCCACACAATTGGGATTTATGACATGCATACCATTTCGGTGAAACCCACGATGATGGGTATGGTGCTGACAAATGTAGAAACATAATCGGGGCCAACTGGGATTCGAACCCACAATCATAGGTTTCTGGAGTGCCTAAGGGACACAACTCAATGCGAATTGCGGCGCCTTGGACGAATGGGCCACCCATGCCCCCTCATCTCGTGTAATTCAAAAAGAAAAGAGCATCATATATAAAGTCAATATATAGAATCATAATGTTGAACGTAAGAGTTGTCAGATACAAGCGTGAATGAATCAATGAGGTGACCAAGGTCAACACGTAACATACTTCAGCTGTGCTTATTATCATCTGAGCTAGAGATAAGATAGACAAATACTCCTGAAACTAAATCGGACACTGACCATACTGATATGTCAAGGTGAGTCAACCTATCTAATCAGTACCAGCAGCATTGCCTTAAATACCTTACTCCGACAACCACAAACAGCAGAAATCACCATAGGCAGTCACTGCAACATGGCTTCTCTCAAAATCCTAACTCCACTACTAATACTGTCAGTACTTACAGTACTGACAGTGTATGGCCAGTACCAGCCTACATGGGAATCTCTGGATGCAAGACCACTTCCTGCTTGGTATGATGATGCCAAATTTGGAATCTTCATCCACTGGGGAATCTTCGCGGTGCCAGGTCTAGGATCAGAATGGTTCTGGTACCTCTGGCAAGAGCAAAAGGTACCAGAAATTGTTGAATTCATGAAGAAGAACTTTCGACCAGATTGGACGTATGCTGATTTTGCTCCAATGCTAACTGCAGAATTCTTTGATGCTGATGAATGGGCTAGAATTTTGCAAACTTCAGGTGCCAAGTAGGTATATTGTTCTTAATTGAAAAGCGATACTTCAAATATTGATCGTGAATTATCCATTTAATCGATAATGTCTATCCATGTATTGTTTCATTGCCTATAAGTAAAACCCAATCAATAATGAACCTGTGAAGATCTGGTGTAGAGTAAGTCTTCAGCAACCCATGTTTGTCATAAGAGGCAACTAATGGGATCGGGTGGTCAGGCTTGCTGACTTGGTTGATGCATGTCATCGATCCCAATTGTGTGAATCAATGCTCATCATGTCAATCACTGGATTGTCTGGCGACGAGGCATGATTATTTATAGACAGCCATCATCTTGCTGGAATATTGCTGAGTGCGGTGTTAAACAACAAACCAACCAAACAATAGTGTCATTATTGGTAATACTCAAGGTCACTCTTGGCAACTTCTCACAGCTCTCAATATTGTTCATTTACTGATTTTATAAGCCATCATGCCCAGTGCAGGTATCTAAAATTAAGGAAAAGTAGACACGGTTATCTTGGGATATTTATCAAAGTGTCATTCAGGAAGAAAAGGGCATCCAATGTAAAGTTCATAATTAGCATTACAACTAAGGATATTTCCACCATGGTGGACTCTATGTGCAGTTACTCAAAAAGATTGAGTAAGTTGTCAGTTGACTTGTATTTGTTCTTACAAAAGAATGACTGGCCAATCAGTCAACAAATGGTGATATATGTAATTACCAGTACATGCAAAAGAACGACCACCACAGTCACTGTCAGAAAACAGAAGCTAATTCATAAAAGGTTGATTAAATTCAAACTAGATTTTATGACATGGAATAGATGGTGTTCCAGTTTATGATCATAAATTATTATAAAAACATTTCTATGACAACCATATAATTCTAATTTAAGGAAGAACTTCTAATTTGCATGGAATGTATATATTTGTCAGTGTTTAACATGAATAATATCACAGTGTTTACCTTCTTTTGAAACTGGCCAACAGAGCACATACCCATCACTCATCATATTATGATGTCCGTTTTAAGCAATAATCCCTCACTCACTCGTTATGATGTGGTCATCCTAGGTACACCGTGTTCGTGAGTAAACACTGCGAGGGTTTCTGTCACTGGCCAAGCAATGTGTCCTTCAGCTGGAATTCAATGGTTGCTGGGCCCAAAAGAAATATTGTCGGTAATGAATACTGGAAATTACTTTAATTTTCCATAGTTTTTCATGTGAATTATTTAAATCCTTGTTATTATTTTCCCATTAAAACCAACAGACTCATTTAATTACCATCGGGAGGTAAACAAGTGCAGTGAAGTTGGCATGGCATGGCACGATAGAGCATAAGTATCACATGACAATATGTTTACATACCGTATTCGACGTAATAAGCGCCCAGGGTGCTCTCAAAATTAGAAATGGGGGGCTCTTATTAGAATATTATTTTGGTGGAAAAAACAGAGTTGAAAGATAAATTTCGTGGTTTATACTGACGGCCTGAAGTGTTTATATATGACAGATATATTTTTTCAGAATGTAATTGCCCATAATTAAGGGTGCATATAACACACGAGTGTGTATTATACAAGAATAAATAAGTCTTGTGTACATTGATCAATCAGAAGGGGTGCTAATTGGGATTGTTCACTTGCCAATATATTAGCAAAAATTGCGATGGCGGCTTATTAGAGCGGGGCGCTTATTACGTTGAATACGGTAATTGTAATCTCGAACACATCTTCATATTGAAGCGCAGATCTATATAAGATCTATAGATCTAGATCTAAGCTGCATGGCAGAGGTTCAGGTGTCTAAGGTGCTGCAATTGGCAGTGAAGAGTTACATCCCTTAAGCATGCCAGAAAACCAATGATTGTGGGTTTGAATCCAAGTTTCTTATTATTAAGTTTCTCGATTTGTCAGAACCAAGCCCGTATCATTGGGTTTCACAAATGTTTTAAACGTCTAAGATCTGCATTGCTGATGTCCACCCTCCTGCCTCAAACTGACATGAAGTAACTGGAATACCAGTTATTGTTAAAGTAGTGTTCAAACAAATTCACTCACTCCATGCCACATGCTTCTGACAAAGTGACACACAAAACACAAATGTCAGCCTCATAAATAACAAGTGTTGATATATAGTCAAAATATACTCCAAAACAACTCAGACATGCTATTTTCAAAGTTATTTTTAACAAGTTCAATGAACTGTCATTTTCTACTCACGTGTCATTTGTGAGACAAAAGACTTTTCAAACCCTAAAACGTATTTTCTGTTGTTTCAGCTGAGTTGGCACAAGCGGTCCGCACCAAGACCGACTTAAGGTTCGGTCTGTACCATGTGTTGTACGAATGGTTCCACCCTCTCTATCTCCAGGACAAAGAGAACAATTTTACAACAAGGAGATTTGTTGATGTAATGTTTGGTCTATATATACTCTTACATAGTCTCTGTAAATAATAACTTAAAATATTTAATTGTGTACTTTCTTGGGTCATTATCAAGAGGTGGAATTCCTAAAGTGATCCGCATCATTGTCAAAAGAGAAAGCTGCCAAACTGGAATTCATTCTTATCTAACTACAGCCAAGTTGCCTTCCTAATAAAGTTATTATCATCGTTATCACTTCAGTTCAAGATCATGCCTGAGCTTTATGAGATTGTCAACACCTTCGAGCCTGACCTTGTGTGGTCTGACGGAGACTGGGAGGCCCCAGACACCTACTGGGGATCCAGGGAATTCTTGACATGGCTTTATAATGACAGGTTAGTGTCAATGATTCCGAAATATGTAAATAATATTTCCCTCGGAAATAACCTTCAGACAAATATTCTAAAATGATAATCATTATGTTTTTTAATACAGCCAGAATTCACTCACTTGTCACAAGATTATGATCATGCTGGCAGTGACAAAAGTACAACAAAGTATCTTGAGTATGTACAGTATGAACAACAAATGGTTGTATCTGAAGAAAGTAGGATGTTGAAATGAAAATGTTACTGACCCTATAAGCATACAAATATGTCAACATACGTAAGTTAAAAAACTATCAAATACTCACACCCACAACTCAAAGATTACGATCATAGGTATTGAAATGTCCAGACTTCATTGTGAGAAACATGGAGGAAAGGGCCAAATTAATAACATTGTATTTCATTAAACATTACAAAAAAAACAGTTATTAACAGTATTACATTTATATCATGGCGTGTCACCTTAATATGGGAGGAAAGCCCGAAGTTAAATGCAGGTCTTAGACGTTTATCACTTCGGTGAAACCCACAAGCACAGGTATGGTGCTGACAAACCTAGAACATAATCGGGGCGAACTGGGATTCGAAACCACAATCATAGGTTTCTGGTATGCCCAAGGTTTGCAACTCTTCACAGAGAATCGCAGTGCCTAAGTCGACTGGGCCACCCATGCCCCCTTAAACCATGCACAAGAGTAAAATACTTAAGTGTTACAGACTGAAAATGATGTTGTATTCATTCCAGCCCAATCAAGGACAAAGTAGTGACCAATGACCGGTGGGGAATTGGGTGTAATTGTACCCATGGTGGTGTCTATACTTGTGGAGACAGATACAACCCTGGTATGTGAACAAATATTATTTTCCGTTGGTGCTAAGCTTATCATGAAGTATCATTTTGATTTGTCTGTTGTTTAATGCCACACTCAGCAATATTCTGTAAGCTTTATGACGGCAGTCTGTAAATAATCAAACTTTCGACCAGACAATACAGTGATAAACATCATATGCATCAATCTTTGCAATGTGGATACAGGATTTGCATCAACCAAATCAGCAAGGATGACCACCCGATCCCATTAAATGCCTGTGTCAACAAGCATGGGTTCATCCTCAACCCAACAAGAAGAGGAACACTGAACCATATTGAGAAATTCCAAACGGGAAGGTTGTGGAAGTATTTCTCATTGTCAAATCAACTGACCTGCATACCAAATTCTACCTGCAGTGTCCATGAATCCTCACTAAGTCAATGAGAGTGATATGTTGCCAAGTAAGTTCTTATTTGACTCTTGTTTCAGGTGTTCTGCAGAAGCACAAGTGGGTGAATGCCATGACAATAGACAAGAAGTCCTGGGGGTTCCGACGTAATGCCCCCCTGTCAGACTACCTGACTATAGAGGAGCTTATTGAGACTTTAGCTAGAACTGTCAGGTAAAACGCTGTTTTCACACTGATCCCAGCTGTCTTGCATGCAAACTGTGTACTTTATACTATTGTTTTGAGACAGAATATAAAAAAACAACTCTTTTTTTTCACCACTGTCTTGAGGCTTCTCATAACTGTCTTGAAACATCCTACTAACCATTGTCACATTATTCTGTTCTTGAAACCATAGTCTTCAAGCATCCTATCACCCACTGTCACTTAATAGTGTTCTTGAAACCACTGTCCTGAATCATCCCACAAACGATTGTCACAAGATAGTGGTCTTGAAACCACTTCTTTGAAGTATCCTCCAAACCATTGTCATGTAACAGTGTTCTTGAAATCATTGTCCTGAAGCATCCAACACACCAATTGTCACTTGATGGTGGTCTTGAAGCCACTATGTTGAAGCATTCTACAAACCATTGTAATTTCATGATGTTTTTGAAACCACTGTCATGAAGAATCCAAGAAGCTATTGTCACTTAATCGTGTTGCTGAAACCAATCTTGAAGCATCCTACATTGTAACCATTGTCACAAACTGTTCTTGAAACCTGTCTTGAGGCATCCTACATACCACTGTCTCATGTTAGTTAATCTCTGTGCACCATCAAATAGTGTACCTAACTGATCAACAACATCCCTTCTGTTCCAGCTGTAACGGTAATCTGCTCATGAACATTGGGCCAACTGCCTACGGTGTGGTCAGCCCCATCTATGAGGAGAGACTGAAGCAGATGGGCGAGTGGCTCAAAATTAATGGTGAAGGCATCTACGAAACACGACCCTGGACCTACCAGAATGAAACTGTGATACCCGAAATATGGTTAGTATTTGCTGCCTACATTACACAACCTTATTTACAACCGAGCTTGCCCTTTGTATGCAGATTTCAAAGAATGTCATACGACTCTTGTTCAAATAATGTTTGATCAGGGTTACAACATTCAAGGACTTAGCAAAGCTTTGGAAAGGTTTCATGATTGACATGTGGAGGATGTTTCAAAATTTGATGCATCAGTGACCAACATGATGTCTGATGTAGTTTCCTATTTTGACTTGCCTTTGCATGTGTTTGTGACAGATGAAACAGCTCACATTTTTGCGAACACCCTGGTATCATTACTAGTTGAGAGTGATTCATAAACAGATGGACTGCTTTTAGAAGAGATTTCTTATGATCATTGAAATTATGTGTCGACTTTCTTTACATAAGGTGATTCACAGTTAGTGAATCCACAAGTTTTAAGCAAGGACAACAACTTTACTGAAACTACAAACAGAAAATCTTTTATCATCAGCTACAATACATATGACATTTATACTTCAGTGTCAACAGATATAAATATTTTGCAAGATCCAATTGTTTTTAATTCTGTCTAAGGGTTTATGCTAAACATATCCACTGATTGCGTCCTTAACCTACACATTTGTTGGTTGGGCTTCTGTTTATAAATGTCTGCCTAATGTAATGTCAGATTTATTGATTTGTGCAACAACTTTGTCAGTGGAACATAAATTAAGTAAAAAATACATCTAATTTTTTTTTAAGGGCTATTTTTCTGAATACTCTTGTTGCTATATGTGCAGTTTTTCTTATGCCAGTCTTAATGCCCAAATCATTTTGAAGTGTATAACTGAGTTTGTATTTAGTGGAATTTACAATACAGAGCTTTCAAATTTGTATTTTCACTTGTCAAGGATTATGTTGAACTGTAATTGTTTTTCAAAACTATGGCGATAGTCACATATGTGTCTAAAAGACCCTAGGTCATCATGGTTGTGAAATGCTGAACACTCTCATCCAGTATAATTCTATGACTATAAATTCTGTTACATGTTACATGATAAACATGACTCTATTACATCATGAATTTGAATGATTTCTTTACAAATGGAGTATTAGAAAAATACAAACAAAATATATTTAATGTAAGCAAACAAAAGCAAATTTCACTTTTGAAAATTTGGGCAGAAAACAAAAAAATAAATTTAGTATTGTATTAAATCCTGATGCAGATGCAGATCTCATGAAAATATCCAAATGACTTTTCAATGTTGTATCATTTTCAGGTACACCTCGAAGACATCGGGACAAGGTAAAGACATCTACGCAACTGTTATGAGCTGGCCCAACACAGGGGTCTTCCAGCTGACCCGGCCTAACCCCAGTGACAACACTGTGGTCACTCTAATGGGGTACTCAGGTTCCTTCAGCTGGACAAGAGCTGCAGGTCAAGGCATAAACATCAACATTCCCGCCATTGCAGCCAACGCTATGCCATGCAAGTGGGCATGGATGTTCAAGATCACCAATGTTCAAAACTAAGGCATCATGATTGTGCACCTTCCAGCTGTTTCTTATTTGAAAAGACTTGTGAATACTTGAAGAAGTTTTCTTATAAGAAGTCTGATGATGAAATATCATATTGTGTAAATGTGTTACTTTTGAAAAAGCAACATGAGTTTTTTATTCTTGTAATAAATGATAGATATAACTTCTTGTTTGTGATATTTTTTTAGTACATTAAGTGAAATCTCAGAGGTGAGATTTATAATGCATGGTATTGTGACTAGCTTTCTGTGAGGATTTCAAAGAGCTTCATATAAGGCCTGTAAGCAAATCTTTCAAAACATTCCAGTGATGCATCAGTGAGAAATTTGATGTCTGATGCACTTATCTATTTTGAGTTGAACCATACGTTCCCATGTTGTATTTGAGGTGGATGGGGCAGGATACACTCACATTTTCACGGTACCCAGTATCATTACTACGGTGGCCCATACCCGCCACTGGTGAGATTATTTTTCACTGTATGCCTCTCTATTTTATCTGGTTCAATCTTAAGGATAAAATCTCCAACCTGTCGATTGCCAGGGCACTGATCTGGAAGTAATTCTGGTCACACGTGGTATGCCAATTTGAAACGAAAAGTATCTGGCAAAATATCGAGGCATACAGTGAAAAATAATCTCACCAGTGGAAGTATCTGGCGGCTGCCAGAAAAGAATTTGGCGGACACCAGATAAAATATAGAGGTATACATGGAAAAATGATCTCACCTGGTGTTGGGTATGGGCCAACCTACATTACAACATAATAGTGATTCATAAACACATGCTTATGATATCGTTTGAATCTGACAATGAACTCAACTTTCAGCAGATGTTTCTCCTGATATTGGAAAGGGTTCAGTAGCTTTTAATTATCTGCAATAGTCTGTTAGATAGGCATTACTTAGAAGTTGATGGATGACAAGGTAGACACAATTTTATGAAGAAATTGTTATCCATAAAATTGTGTCTACCTTATGCAATAGTTGTGATTGTGTAATCATCACCATTGTGAGTGAGTGAGTCAGGTTGGGTAATGATGATTTAAACAGTATATCAGTTGTGTCACATGTCAGCTTAGTGAGGATGGAATGCCCAAAATGATGCAGGTCTTACATGTCTACCACCTTGGAGAAAACCACGGACTGGCTGATCCAGAGGTTCAGCATTTTTTTCAAAAATAATTTGTGACTTGGATATTATATGAACACACACATTTTTTAATAATCCTGGATCAGCCCCAACACAAGTATGGTAATATTGTGTCCTGACAATTCAAGGGCAAATGTTGGATTTGAGCCCTGGTAATGGTTGTTGGATCCTGGCACACCAACTGTATGCAACTCTGCCATGCAATTCAGATGACTTGACCACATGCCACTCATTGCAAATGTACTGAACAACAGACAAGCATTAATCACAAACTTTCGATTAGAACAGGTTGACATTTCGGCAGCACAAGGAGCATTAAATTGTGCAGTGTAATTTGAAATTTTTAACAACTTCTGCAAACATCAGAGATGACATGGACACCTGAAGCAGCAGCACTCACTGAAATGGGTTTCTGTTACAGGATGGGGTACAATTAATGACATGAGGAAGCCCTGCTGTGATGCAGACCTCATATATCTACATCTTTTTGTGAAACCCATGAGCACGGTGTTATGCTGAGAAACCTAGAAACATAATTTGGGATAAGTGGGTTTGAACCCACATAGGTTTCTGGTGTGCCCAAGAGACGCAATTCTGTACAGCAAACAACGGCACTGTAGATGATTTGGCCACTCTTTGATTGACATTGTAATCTTTTTGTTTCAACTAAGGGAAACTCTTGTACTGTTACTTTTGTTGAAAATAGATATATCTGCTCTGTAATGTTGTTGTTTTATCAAGAACAACTTTTTTTATAAATAAATCGTTGATTTCCCCATCGACATGCTCCATCGCTATCGAAGCATAGATCTAGAATTACGTTTTCAGCTGGCACCAGGTTGTTGTGGCAATATTTGCTTGTTTGTTTGTTTGTTTGTTTGTTTATTGTTTAACGCAGCACTCAGCAATATTCCAGCCATATGACGTCGGTCTGTAAGTAATCGAGTCTTGACCAGACAATCTAGTGATTGACAACATGAGCATCGATGACATGCATCAATCAAGACAGCGAGCCTGACCACCCGATCCCGTTAGTTGCCTCTTACGACAAGCATAGTTGCCTTTTGATTCAAGGATCCGGAAAAATTGTAATTGAAACTATTTTTTTTAATCAGGAATAATATATTCAAATCATATTATTTTAGTTGCATTTTTTACTAAATATATTGAAAATAATAATAACCCAAAGCGTAGCACTTCAGTGCAGCTGATTGCTATTGTCGGTTATTTTTTTCCCTATGGAACAATTTATGAAATAAGCTTCAAACATCCTTCAAGTCCAGATATACAATGTCCACTTTTTATAGCCAGACAGTGTAATTACATGATTAATTTGCATACTTCAGTACAAATTTGTTGACATGGTATTTCCGGTGTTATGTGCGCTCATGGTAATGTCTTTGCATTGGGGGAAAAAACATCAAAACTCATTATGGTGTGTGTTATGCACACCCCCTTCCACACAGCTGTGTTTTTTGTGCGCACTATACTCAAGAAAATACAGTACACATCCGTCGTCTTCAATGGTTGTTTGCACCCTCACAATACACCACCAACATGTTCTGTTGATTTGTCATGCATGTTACACCTGGTCCTTCCTCATCCCTCCATCACCATGTCTCAGTACCTCATGTGTTTCTGGAATCATCTGTTATTTTCGAACATCCCCTAATTTTTGGGAGAATATAGAAAAACTATTGCAAAATTGCATTTAATAGTTTTTGAGTATTTTTCAGAAATGTGATATGCAAACTTTGCTCCTTATAGTTGCAGGTGATCCGTCATCTAAAACAGCTGGAGGCTGAAAGGAGCTAAATGGGCCAAATTGATAATATGTATTCAGTAAGGAAGAGAATATATGGATGTCATATAGTAAGCATATACTCCGAAATGTTGTGTTCCTTATAATAAAGAAGTTGACATCCATATATTCTCTTCCTTATGTGTATCACTTCTAAATGCCTTTCAAACACATGTGTTCAATGTTTTAGATAAAATTGAGTGAGTACGGTTTTGTGCCACTTTGAGAGATTCCCAGCAGTATCAACAGATACATCTGGTATTGTAACATTATAACCATGTGGGGAATCGAACCAGGACTTTCAGCATGATCAGCAAACACCTTATAGCCTCTAGATCTACCCTACTTCACCTGATACAGTGACGCACTACCTGTAAAAATGATGGGACTTGTTTCTGAAATAAAGGCACTGGGAATTAAATCTGTGGGTCATACTATTTTAAGACAACCATGACATTCAGAAGCACTGTTTGTCATATATCTTTGTGTCTACATGATATTAATGGAACACATGATGCTGCAATATCACAGATTAATCTGGCCTTGGAAGACCCACTTCACCTTGATTGTCCTAAATACGACCAAGACAGTTGTAATCAGTAACACACTTCTTTTCTCGGACACGAATCAGATAACATCACCACATACACTTGCCAGAATATGGCTCCTCTGACAAAGTTAAGTTCAGTATTAATACTGTCAGTACTTGCAGTGCTGACAGTATATGGCCAATACCAGCCCACATGGGAATCTCTTGATGCCAGACCACTCCCTGCGTGGTACGATGAGGCCAAGTTTGGCATTTTTATCCACTGGGGGGTGTTCTCGGTACCAAGTATTGGCAATGAGTGGTTCTGGTACCTTTGGCAACGACAGAAGTTGCCGGAAGTTGTTGACTATATGAAAAACAACTTTCGGCCTGATTGGACGTATGCTGACTTTGCTCCAATGTTCACTGCAGAATTCTTTGATGCGGATGAATGGGCTAGAATTTTGGAATCTTCTGGTGCCAAGTAAGTGTCATTTCAACTTTAGCACATATGTGATGAACAATTCTCTATTTTGACTTGTGCCATATCTTCCTGTGTTTTTTCAGGTGAACAATTGACTTGCCTCTGCATGTATTTATAAAGGGTGCTACTGGTGGGGCAGCATATGCTCATCTATTTTCCAGAGCACCTGGTATCATCAATTTTTTATAGAGATTCATAAACACATGTGTATGATATCGTCATCACCATACAATGGACTCTGCTTTTAGCAGAGATTTCATATGAATATGGAAAGGATTTTGTCACTTGTATTTGCTTCCAGAACTTAAATCAAACTAATAAACAATCAATATTATGTTATCAAATGATCTCATTTTGTAATCTATGAAAAAAATAGAAACTTATGAGGTTTGTTCCACCTTGAATATAATCATTCATATTCCCCCTACATTTGACCCACTAGGTACACAGTGTTCGTGAGTAAACATTGCGAGGGTTTCTGTCACTGGCCCACAAATGTATCCTTCAGCTGGAACTCTATGGCGGCAGGACCAAAGAGGAATATTGTTGGTATGTAACATTTGCAAAGATTTTTCAGCTTAGTGTCAGACGATCTGATCCAATATTGATATAGAAAATACCCCAACAGCTGAAGTAACAAATGTTATATTTAGGATAAGACTTTCTTAGTAAAGTACCGATTCTAGTACATATTTAGGGTGAGTCCCATCAGGGATTCGAACCCACACTGCCAGAATGTGGCAGCACACAAAGTCAGCAATCTAACCCGCTCAGCCACCGGGGCTTCTATAAAAATTAAAGTCTGACAACTGGCCATCTAGATCACAAATATAACTTTGTGTTGCCCTCTGGAAGGTGTAAATTTGCATGGCTCCCATGGCCAAAAGTTATGAATTCACAATGCCATTTAGAAAGTGGTCAAATGTGACAAATGTAGCCAGTGATCGAGCAACGGTCACTGACACGCAACCAAGTCACTGAGTCTGGTCCATCTGTGTCTCTTATGACCAGAATAGCTTGCTGAAGACTTATACCTGGAATCCCAAGGGCTCAATCAGAGAATCATCTAAGAAGAAAGTTCCTCAGGTGATAATAGATGATCTGGAAAATACATTAGCAGTAAGGAAGCAGTGGGGACATTGGTCTCGCTTACAAAAGATATGATATGGAGTTTAAGGGGCTCTTGGTTGGGAAATAA